AAATGGAGATCGGGGATGGATGGGATGGGTTGGTCGAGTTGTCGGTGGTGTTGAGCTGGTCTACTGAGTGATAAGTAGTAATTATATGAAGATAATGTGTATTGACTATGGGGTACGGATGGTATGTCGCATGGGGGGAATGGATTGTGTTTGGTAGCTATATTCTTATATGAGCATGCGCCATGTCTAAATAGACACTGTATCCAAGAACTACAGGGAGACTGAAGCATAAACTGAGAAAATTTCGTTGATGGTGGTTGGATGTTACTTATTGACTTTTAATGTACAGATACAGACAGATATCAGGTGTTGCTCTATTCCATTTGCGATCTCCAGACTTCTCTTTTTACCAGAAAAATCTATTGAAAACAGTTTACGCAACGCAGGTCTAGTGAGCATTATAATACACCAAAAAAATCCTCTATCACATCCTCATCTATTTGGAGATCTCAACACCACCGGTGGCACCGAGGACACGCTTGATGTCACCGTAGATGGCGAACTGACCAGCAGTCAAGGTACCAACCATGAACAGACGAGCACCGATACCGGCGTAGGAGCCACGGAAGCCGAGCTCCTTACCGATCTTGATCAGACGGGAGACGGTACCCTCACCGGGCTCACCAGGGGTCTTGTTGATCTTGGAGAGCATGGTGTCGGCGGGCTGGGAGACAAGGGCAGCAGCGAAACCAGCAATGAGACCGGAGCCAAGGTTGATAGCAGTCTTGGTACCATCGCTGGCGGTGTTCTTGTCGACCATACCGTAGATAGCCTCAGCAGCCTTCTCGAAAACGACGAACTTGGCCATGGTGTAGGGAACCCTGAGAGGTTTTTAGCATATGACTTGACTTTATTGCACTTTTTGCTGCATAAAGGTCACTTACTGCTTGAAGAGAATAGGACCGAAACCAGAGTAGAAAGCACCGACACCCTCGTTCTTGAGGATCTTACCGAAACCGCTCACGAGACCGGTAGCAAAAGTGGGCTGGGAGACGAGACGGATACGGGTGGCCTCAAGAGGGCAGAGAGCGATGTCAGCGAAGAACTCAGCGGCAGCGGAGGAAGCAAGGTAGACAGCGGTGCGGTTGTTGGAGGCAGTCTCGAGACCGAGCTGGTTGATCCACTGCTGCTTGAAGAACTCGTAACCACCGAACTTGAAAGCACCCTGGAGGAAGTAACCGGCGGCGGTAGGACCGAGACCAGTGAGGAGAGCGCCAGCACCCTCGTTGGCAATGACCTGACGGAAACCGCCGATCATACCACGGTTGTAGGTGACGGGGTCAAGCTGGATTCTGGTCTTGACGCTGCAGGACGAAAGAAGAGCACGTCAGCAACGGGCTTCTGAAAGGTCGTCGAGATGGAACAACAATCGAGTCGCACACTCGGTCGGAACAAGGCGCGATCGAAAGCGACAAATCGGCAAATCGACAAACGGCGACATGATTCCGACTTACACATCGACAGGAGTGAGAGCACCGTGGGTGACGGAGCAGCAGACAGCACCAGCGAAGGCGAATCTGGAGTACAGCTGGAGGCCGGAGAGCTGGGGAGCAGGGGCGGCGGCAGGCGCCTCCACCTTAGCGCTGGCGGACATTTTGTGTATGGGGGTATATGGAAAGAAGAACAGGAAAAAAAGGGAAGAGAGGAGTGTGGAGAAGAGAGGAAGAGGGAGAGGAGAGCGAAGCAATTGAAGCTTTGCAGAGTTTGGGAAAGAGAGGGAAGAAAATGGAGACCCGGCAGGAAGAGGATTTGAAAGGGATGGCCGGCCGCTGCTTTGGCACTAGCGGCACCCGAACCCGAAAACTTTTCGCGGCCAATGCGTGCCTTGCCACAAAGCCTTTAAATCCGATCGCCCGGTCAACCGACAAATGAACGAACGAACAATAACCCCGTCATTGAGCACCAGCGTTATAGTCCCCATCTGATTGATAGTTTCGAGAGGATCGATCCCTCCCTCGTCATCGCATCGAATTGTTTGTGTTTGATGTGTTGTTGAAGATCGGTCACCTGCGGTGTTCCACCCTTAACTCCGGTTCTTCCGGGCAGGGTCTACAGTAGGGTCAGGTGCTGGCCAAGTTGACGGGCAAATGGCAATATTTTAAGAACTATAACGGGGATTTCTATAGTACAGTATCTTAAGTAGAGGACATATCTACGATGTACTCTTAAAGAGAGACACCAATCATTCTCCATCACTTTGATATCTCGCGACTTAATTTACCGAGGTCTAAGACAGTTGAAGCCAGGTTGTTGCGACAACGGCAGCCTCAGGCATACAATGTCTGAAAAAATCAACATCTACAAAATTAACATCCTACTTTCTCTGGCCATGGTTTCTGCGGCAAACTGAAACCGTCGAATTTACCCCTTTCGCCTCTTCCGAACCCTCACGACAAAGTTAGAGAAGTGTCTGGTTCGGCAAATAACCATTCCATCCTCACCATCAAGTGACGAAACCTGCCATGGCCGCCAAGCCGTGCTGCCCACTGATTGGTGCAGTTTCTCCTTTCGGTCAACGGTAAGCCGACGGAGAACTTCTGCTTGGTTCATAACGATTTGTGCGGTTTCATCCCCTCAGGCATCAACATTTTATCCTCGGAATTGGTGTCTAGCGTTGCGACGCGATTGATGCTTGACCTACATACTTAGACCCTAGACCAGTATACGTGGTGGCATCTGCAAGGAACGCTCTAGAAATCATAGGAGAACCTCCTAGGGATATGTTTTGCGCCCGGAAGGCACAGCATTCAGCCCCATCTACTATTTAAAGTATCAACACACTAAAACAGGAGGCTTTAGTGGCTGTTTTTCTGATCGACCATCATACCTTAAATCATACCAGACAGCTATCACCAATATGACGTGTTTTGCAGTATATACATTTGATACATCTAAGACCTGAACCACGGTGGAGGCTCTCTTTTTCATCACCGAATCAATCTTTCTCAGCTTCACACTCGAAATAGGATACTTCTCCTTCCTTTTCACCCTTGTTGATACCGTTTCTGAAAGTAGAAGTACGGCATTTTCTCCATGTTATCTTTCCTCCTATGGTGCCATCCAAAGAAGAGGAAGGAGAGACAACTATGGAAGCAGATTGAAGGTTAGCCTCCGTAATCATCAAGGTGCATTTTATTGCAAGTTGAATCCCCGCTTACGTGTCCACCAACAGAAGAAGCTGAGCACTTGGACCAGCTTCCATCATGGGATGCTCCCGACAACACTTTAATGCTGCAAGCCTTTGAATGGCATGTGCCAGCTGACCAAGGTCACTGGCGTCGTCTTCACCAGGCCTTACCAAACTTCAAGGCGATTGGGGTAGACAACATATGGATCCCGCCCGGGTGTAAAGCTATGAATCCATCTGGTAACGGATATGATATTTACGATTTGTATGACTTGGGAGAATTCGAGCAAAAGGGGTCTCGAGCTACTAAATGGGGTACCAAAGAGGAGCTCCAGTCCTTGGTAGCTGCAGCCCAAGATTTCGGTATAGGTATTTACTGGGACGCTGTCCTCAATCACAAGGCGGGAGCAGATTACGCAGAGCGCTTTCAAGCTGTCAGGGTTGACCCACAGGGTATGCCATGGCCTTATTCGACTAGTTTCGGGTGCACCTGTTAACTTGGAATTGTCTAGAGCGTAATATGAAAATCGCCCCTGCAGAGGAAATTGAAGGCTGGGTGGGATTCAACTTCTCTGGGCGTGGCAACCACTATAGTTCGATGAAGTACAACAAAAACCACTTCAGCGGTATCGACTGGGACCAGTCGCGTCAAAAATGCGGAGTCTACAAGATCCAAGGACATGAATGGGCGAACGACGTCGCCAATGAGAACGGAAATTACGACTATCTCATGTTCGCCAACTTGGACTACTCCAACGCAGAAGTACGACGCGATGTTCTGAAATGGGCCGAGTGGCTCAATGCTCAATTGCCTCTAAGCGGCATGAGGTTGGATGCGGTCAAACATTACTCGGCTGGTTTTCAGAAAGAGCTTATTGATCATCTTCGAACTATTGCTGGGCCAGACTATTTCATAGTGGGCGAGTACTGGAAAGGCGAGACCAAGCCGTTAGTTGACTACCTGAAGCAGATGGACTACAAGCTATCATTGTTCGATTCCGCTCTGGTTGGGCGGTTCTCAAGCATTTCACAGACACCAGGGGCGGATCTTCGCAACATTTTCTATAATACATTGGTCCAATTGTACCCAGATCATTCTGTCGTAAGTTGATTGTCATTTTGGTGAGATCCCTTACTGACCACTAAAAGACTTTCGTTGCAAACCATGATACTGTAGGTGCAATATGCCCTTTGGCCTCATTCTACTAACATAGATCCAAAGCAACCAGGTCAATCCCTCGAAGTACGCACACCGCCCACTTTGATTTTACAGATCTAACAGATGTTCAGGCGCCAGTAACATCATTCTTCAAACCCCTCGCGTACGCCCTTATCCTTCTCCGTGACCAAGGGCAACCATGCATATTCTACGGAGACCTTTACGGCCTCCAAGCCGATGTCAAAGATCCAATGACACCGTCTTGCAGGGGCAAGCTGTCCATCCTCACCCGAGCTCGAAAGCTCTACGCATATGGCCTGCAACGAGATTATTTTGACAAGCCGAACTGCATCGGTTAGTGCCTGCTTTCGTTATCCTCTACCGCACACTGACAGGAGTAGGTTTTGTCCGCTATGGTAACCGTCGGCATCCCTCTGGTCTTGCATGCGTGATGAGCAATGCGGGTCCGTCGAGGAAGCGGATGTATGTTGGTCGACGACACGCCAAGCAAACATGGACCGATATCCTGCAGTGGTGTGATCAGACTGTTGTCATTGATGCCAAGGGATATGGAGAGTTTCCGGTTAGTGCGATGAGCGTGAGTGTATGGGTGAACTCCGAGGCTGAGGGGAGAGATAGCCTCTCACATCATTTGTATGTCCCTGCTCACAGTCTTAGTACGGATGATTTGCTGACGAGTGCTGAAATTAGTGATGAGAACATATACAAACTAGCTTAATCGCCTTGGGTATCTGTGATGACTACTAGACAATCCCCAAAGAAACATAATACACGATCATCTATACAACAACCTCTCTAACCAACCAATCAAACCAACAACGGCGTATCAAAGCACCCAAACCCCTTGACCACACTCATCTCATCCACATCCGCAAACTTCGTCTTTAACGACCAGCCCACAGTTTCATTTCTCAAAATCTCCCCCTTCTTCCAAATACACAGCCCAAACACCCCCACTTCCGAAATCACATCCGATTCCTCCACCCCTTCCCGCGACATCAGCACATTCCCCACAACAGGCGACCTAATCCTCTCCATCAACACATACCTACCCCATTCGGATTCCGAACTCATTCCCAACAGAAACCCCGGGATATCCTCCCCGTAGATATTATGCCCCCCGCCTTCCAACGACGGTTTCAAAATATACTTCCACGCGGTATCAGGATTCGTCGCTAGCCTGCGCGCATAGCGTCCTTCCTCAGAATCACCGTCCATCGGGTACATAGACACAAATGTATCTCTAATAACCGACACTTTCTCTTCAGTATCAAGAAACCTCTCCAACACCCCCGGACCCATAAGAACTTGCTGCACTTTCTTAAACGTTAATATATGTCCCAGCAACGACGGACACTTGATAGCCCGCGACTGCTCAAGCCTGACTCGACATTCTATCCCCGTGGCATCATACTCGTGCACTTCGAGCCCCGCACGGAAATACACGACTGATATTTCCACCGGCTGTCCTTTCCCTCTGCTACCTTCACCTTGCAAATGCGGATAAAACAGCAATTCCCGCGTATTGCTAAGACAAGTCCTTTCCAGCACATCATCCCCCCACTCAACCCTATACGTCGGGACAGGAATATCCCTATTCCAGAGTGCATATTCAATAGGCAGTTCATCAGCAACGTTGAAGTTGTTCGGCTGGACTATGAAAAGCACCCCTGCCTCAGCAGCGAGACTGCACCTAGCCGGGCCATACATACCATGCGCCACCGCGAGAGAATCAGCCAGGCCTTTGATATTCCCATTCGTAGGTAACGATGACAGCGTAATCGGACTCTCCCCTTTTCCCTCGTTCGCATCTGATAAAGATATATAAACTCCCGTCCTCGTCAAATACCGATGCATATCCACCACTTTATTCGCATGACAGCCTCCCGCGCACGCGATGGTGTTGAATTCGACTTGTTTCAATTGCAGCCCATGCTTCGCATTTTCACTCTCATCAAGGCTAATCTCAACCTCATCCCCTCCCTCCTGATTGTCATTACCATTACCATCCCCAGGAACATGAAGCATGTAATCCGACCGAAACAACCCCATTGATACATCTGACCCGTATCCCCCTCCTTCTCCCTCATTCGTTATCCGAATATGAATCTCCCATAATATCCTGGCAAAGGGATCGACAGGGAGAAGAGGCCTGATGACTTTCTCATAGAGCCAGGGCTCGTTGTCTGAGAGACGGGCGTATAGTTCGTTGTAGATTGGTTGGAGGGTATGTTGCGCGTCGTGGAACAGGGCCCTGGGGAAGGGGGTGGGGAAGATGCTCGTGGAGATGGGGTAGCTGGATGTGCTGTGGGAGGGTTGGGCAAGGTTGATGTGTTTGAGATGCATGCCGTGGGTTAATTGGTAGTTGAGGATTTGGGTGATTAGGTGGTGGCCTTGCATTTCGGGGGTCGCGGGGGGGTACATGTTGATTGTAATGAAGTTATTTAATTGATGGTTTGGGGTGTGGGTGGTTTGGAGGGTTCGGTTTGGATGTGTAGAGGTTGAGTGTTGAAGTTGAAGGATAAGGCTGAGAGTATGTGCACTGCCTCGTTCTGTGGGTTTTTGGCTGGGTTGGGGGTGATCATATTACTACTTGGTTGTTTTGGCTATTGGGCTGGTGGATGGAGGTGTGCCATCATTCTGTACCACTTTTCTAGTAGTTGTTTATTTTGGCAATTGGGATGGTTCAGGAGGTTTATCACTCATCACCAAGGTAGTAGATGGTCAATAGATGATGGTGAGGGGGTGACTTGAATATGGAGATAAAATAGTATTGAGTATATATTGAGATTTATAGCAGTGAAAGTACTTATACTAGTAGTTTGCCAGCCTTCGTTTTACATCTATACCGTGAAATCCTTAGTATCTTATCGCTTGATTTCAGTGCAAAGAGCCATAGAGGTTTCAGACGGTGAGTAGTACAGTAGTAATATATTCTAAACTGCGAGGAGGGGTATAAGCGACGTCATAGATCTTTCCCTCTCCAGGCTACTCGTTGGTGTGCAGTGACTGCATCACGACGCGATCACCTACGTACCCCTTATCATCATTTAGTACTATCAAAACTGAATCAAATGACAGCTTATTGAGCAGGATGTTATCTCTACAAAGTTGGCAACGGCGTGGAATCCGGCCGTGGATGCCGAGGATCACGCATTGCGGGGTCCTTTCGGCGCTGACAAACCCTTATCGGCCCGGGCATCGGTAGTCAAGGACTAACCCCACGCACTTTGTGCCTTCCACATGCCTCCTTGGCCGTGGAATCTACGTTCAGCCGGTCGTCTGCGGTCGTGGAATTAAGCGTCGGTCAACCTGGCCCGGATGGAGTGAACACCTGCGCGCCCAACTAACGCAATGTCAGGACAAAAAAGTGTCCTTGCCATCCTCATGCGACGCTCCGTCTTCTCTACCGTTTCCTTTGCTTTCAAGCAACCTGTCAAGTTTCAGTAAGTCCAGGAGTCTCCCTATCCCCGACGGTCATCGATCCACGGGGGGTCGGTGCCGGCGACCCCACGGTTAACCCTTGCGCATACTAACATCAGGCAGTAGCTGCAGGATCCCATCTCGTCGCCTAAACCTCTACAGCCCCTCTCGAGCGTTTAGCCAAACATCCACCATGTTCAAAGTCGGTGACGATTTTGAAAAGAAACAAGCCTCCCGGCCAGAGTTCAAGCGTGACGTCCCCGTCACTTTCTCGCAGCCACCGAACCCCAGCTGGAAACAGGGAGAGGGCGCCAACGATGGCGGTGAGAGCTTGAAAAAAAACCACATCGAGATCGACCCTTACGAAGAAGGCCGACCGGCCGCCTCCAACTATAAGCTGTTGATCTCGGGCATAGTCCCTCGTCCGATTGCGCTCATTAGCACAAAGTCCAAAGATGGAAAGACGACAAACTTGGCACCGTTCAGTTATTCGAATGTCATTAACCATGACCCTCCGCTCTTCACGGTCGGAATTGTTGGCTCCCTGGACAAGGCCAAAGACACACTGAAGAACCTGGCGGAGACGGAGGAGTGTGTGATCAACATCATCTCGGAGCATTTTGTCGAAGCTGCCAATGCGACGGCCATCAACGCTCCCTATGGAGTGTCCGAATGGGAAGTCTCCGGGCTCACCCAAGCACCCAGTGCCGTTGTTCAGGCGGCCCGTGTGAAAGAGTCCATCCTGGCGATCGAAGGCAAGCTGGTGGAAACCAAGGAGTTCGAGAGCCGGTCTACTCCTGGCAAGAAATCCGGAGTGTTGGCAATAATCGAGGGTGTTCGTTTCTGGGTGAGAGATGATGCGATCAACGAAGACAAGAGCATTGTCGATCTGAAAGTGCTGAAGCCTATTAGTCGGCTGGGAGGCATTTCGTACGGGCGGACCACCGACGCAATCGAAATTCCAAGACCGCAGTTCTAGATTCGGCTTAGATCTTGGCCGTTTCGATGAACTAGTGATTGTGGTGCCTCGTTTCGAGACAGGGATGGGCCGTTGAAAGCTCCGTATTGCCTCGGTTCATCGTATACACTAGAATAGTTACCTCGGATAGTTAGAAGATAGATTTGTTCAGCTAGAGAGTTTATAATAGATCGTGAAACTCAAAAGCCATCATAGAGAAGCATCACCGCGATGCGCTCGTCAGCATCGCAAATTGTAGAAATAACCGAAGCATAGCAGATCGGAGAAGAGGCCGACCGGCGGTTGAAGCGTGGGGATGGGAAAGTGGATACGTGCCATTTTAAGGTAGGAGAAACTCCGGGCCTCCGGACGGAGAAAATGGAGGAGAGAGTCCACTTTTTCCATCCCCAGACGGAGTCCAGACTCCATGAGTCGAGGCGATGAAGATCCAGCTGCTTGGGACTTGGAACAACAATAGAAACAAGGCTCCTGGGATGTTTCTCCTTGGCACGAGGGTTTATCGTATCGCTCATTCCAACCTTCCTGAAAGGGTATAACTTCTGAGACTGACTCTGACTCGCTCAGATCAGTTTCTCGTGTGCAGTTCTCCCTTCCACTATGGTACGACGGTGCACTAGTCGTCTAGTCGGTACGACACGGTAGCTGGATCCAGCCCAGTGCCAGTTGCAGTCCAGTCATGGCTGGCGTGTGTCCCAACTCTTAATAATAATTAAGCGGGTAACTGACTAGTAGTAACGTCAACACTTTGCAAGTCACATGGACCACTGGCGATGGGGCAAAAGACGGGGGAGACGGAACAGAGCCTGTTAGTTACTTTTTCTCACTTTGTCCCTGATCCCTTCGGTATGTGACGGGACTACGCTTAGGGTCGGATCGAATGATCCTCGAAGGAGAGTTCAAAGTACTCTGTCGTAGTCTCCTTCATCTTCCGAGTGAACGAATCAATACGAAAGGCGAGAGAGAGGCGATAGACGGGCCAAGCGAGGCCGGTCACTAGCTACTACTAAGCCAGCGGTCATCCTCCCGCCTGGCCTGGAGACAAACGAGGCATCTCGTGATCGGTAGAAAACAAAGAATCCCCATCGAATCCAACATCCCTTCTAGGCGGTCAGGCTAGAATTGCTTGGGCCTTGCCTTTTGAGGTGGCCTTTTTTTTTTCCCCGACGCACCTGAGGAGGCAGGAGAGCCAGAGCAGCCAAGGGCTTAGCTGGCCGATTCTCGACCCAACAATCAATCAATCAATTCCTCTGCCCCCTCCCGTTGACTTGTCTACTGACTGCTAGCTAACTAGTAGTCCCTTACTAACTTAAGTTATACTTCTGCGTGGTGTGTCCCTCTGGCGCAAGCGTGACCAGGTACCTTACTACTAACTTTCGCTGCTCTGCTTCTCTTTTGCTGTTCCCGCTGACGCCCTACGGGGTAGAAACAAATAATATCATTTGCAGCATAACATTTGCAGGGGATTATTCACCAAAAAGGGAAAGAAGAAAAAAAAAGAAAAGAAAGAAATTCAAAACGAGAAGGAAAATTACCAACTAAAAGGAAAAAGAAAACGAGCGTGAGACAGGGAGTGAGTAAACTCACCCTCTTTTCTCCCCTCATCCACTTCCGCTTCCTTTTGCCTCTCCATCCCGCAACAGTCTTTACCGGACACGACGTGGGATCTTAAGACACTTACGTCCATGGATTTTTCTCTCCACTTGGTGCTCCCATCCAAGGCTCTTCCATACCGCCGTTCTCCTCGTCCTCTTCACTCTCCGCTGGCGATTCCCTTGTGTCTTATCCTTGGGAACGATCGTTCGCCCTAAGTCCTAGACCCTTACAAGCAGGTGCCCAATGTGTCGTGACCCCGGATGATAACTTGCTCGCAATGAGCCACCCTTCTCCCCAGAAGAACGGCGGCAATAATGTTCCCCCTCCCAGACAAATCCGCTTCGTTTCAACAGATGGGCAGCCCCAAACCAAGCGGCGACGAGTTAATGCGGCGTAAGTTGTCATGCCCTTTCTTTCCTCCCCATGCCTCCGGTCTGCTCATCCTGTGATGAATCTAACCTGATCGCTCCCCCGTGGGGCCAACGATAGATGTCTGACGTGTCGCAAGCGCAAAATCCGCTGCTCCGGCGAACAACCAGGTAACCACCAGCCTGATGTCTGACTTATCATGGCCATTGTTTGACTCACCTGCTCGCATGCTTAGTGTGCAAAACATGTTCCGATTACAACCATATCTGCCAAGGGTACAGCGAACCGTCTGCCCACGCCCGGTCCCAATCCGATGCCGCATCACGAACTCCTACAATTGCCCCTCTACCGACTCCCGGTGATGCGACAGCCTTGCGCGCGGCGCGGAAGGCCGCAAGTCGCTCCCCTAGTTCTCCGCGCCGAACCATAGTGCCAATCACTGACGGTGTGGATAAGCCCTCCGAAGCACTCAAACCGTTGGAGCCGAAGGAAGAACCACTGCCGACAGACACATCCTCGCGAACAACAAAAGAGTTCGAGCAACCGAACAACGGGGCCAGTCCAGAAAGCAGTACGTTATTGGGTCTTTTCTGGCTTTTCAAATGCCTTGTATGGGTGGCCATGGCTCACCAGGCTCTTTATCGTCTAGGTCGCACCTCGCTAAGTAGCAGCGCACGCACTCATGTGCCCTACTTTAGGTATTTTGGGCCAACAGCTATTGTCCCTGGCTTCAAACAGATGGTTCGCACACATATGTCAAGAGGATTCTCCAAATTTGTGTCGGTTAACGCCCCCCGCAGGTCGTCCAGGTGCGAGGTTCGCGCAAGAGCAATCCGTCACTGTCATCAGGTCTGCACTCCTGACTGTCCTACTCTTATTAGCTTCTGCAGGCGACTGGGTTGCGGTTCACCCACAGGCCTAGCAAATTCAGCGACACTACCTTGCACGCCCGGCTAACCCATTGTCTTTTAAAATGCAGAGTCTCTGTCTCCCCTTCGTAGTCCCAAATTCGCAGATGCGGGCTTAAATCACCACAGCCATTTACCCGACACTAGAGACACCCGTGATTACAACTCTATCCCTTTCTATGATCGCGACGATTCCCTTTCTGTCAGCAACTTAGTGATGCACCTATGTGACCTATTTTTCGTACATCTCGGGTGCAGCTTTCCGTTCCTTCAGCGAGACAGGTTTCTGCGCGATCTGAAAGACAAAAAGGTCGACACCATGCTGGTGGATGCCGTTTGTGCATTGTCTGCGAGATTCTCCCCCCACCCGCTGTTGAGTCCGCCTCAAGCTCCAACCATCGATGGCTCTGAGCCGCAGATCGATCTGAAAAAGTCCACTCGCGGACAACCATTCGCCCACAGAGCAATGAGCGCCCTAGTTGATACTCTCTCGTGCCCGACGCTTTCCGGAGTGCAGGCGTGTCTGTTACTTGCGTATGACGAGTTCGGCTCGAATCATGACAGTGGTCTTTGGATGTACTTGGGAATATCCATACGGATGGCCCAGGACCTAGGCATGCAGAAGGTCCAGGGTTTGGAGTATAACTATGGCCTGAGTGGGGTCACTCCAAATGCAGTAATGACTGGGCAGGCTGGCAAGTTGAGAGATGACCAGTATGATGAGCCTCAAATCTCTCCAGGCTCCGCCCAAGATATGCAAGATACCGAAAGCCGACGGGCTCGGGAGCGTGAACGGGTTGACAGCTTCTGGAGTATCTTCTTCCTCGACCGAGTGATCTCGTCAGGAACAGGTAGACCAGTGACCTTACGCGACGAGGACATAGAGCTTTGCTTTCCACTTCAGTCTGAGTCCCGGTTGGCCAATGGATGGCCCGCACCTTTTCCACCGCTCATCCGTATAATCCATTTGTACGGAAGAGTGACGGATCTCATCAACGGCATACAAGATGTCAACCATGTAACATCGGATACATTGAAAATGCTGGCCGGTATGGAGAGTGATTTGACAGGTAGGTCCCACAACCTCTACATAATTCGTTGACAAAGAGCTAATCAGGCCGATCTAGGCATATACCAACGCCTGTCGCCTCGACTCCATTTCAATGCTGCCAATTTCCAGGCGTACGTCAAAGCGAAGGAAGGAACCAACTTCATCCTGCTTCACTTTGTGAGTTCCGCCCTCGGACGTCTTGATTGCTCCAGGTGACTAACCTGAACGCAGTGGTTCCATACGCTGATTGTCCTGCTCCATCAACCTACGCTTCTGAACTCGTTCGGGGGAACCATCCAACATCTTTATCCGAACAGCAGAGAACTGTCGATGTCGTCGGCCAAAACCATCGCCGATATACTGTCTTTCTCTGAACTTGTGGATGGGAGAAGCTTCATCGGCAACCCTTTTACAAGCCAGCCAATGTATATTGCCGCATGTGCTTTCCTCATGGAGAGCGCTTATTACTCGTCACCCTCTTCAAGATCTGGCTCGCCCCCGACGCAGCCATTGCTGGCAAATCAATCCAGTGGTTTCGTGATGCCGAATATGGATCCCTCGAGTGGAGCTGATCGAAAGCCGACCGCCAAACACATACTTCTTGCATCGGCCGCAAAGGAGAATTACCAGCGGTGCTACAAAGCGCTAAAGGCGCTCGAGACGTATTGGGAGGGTACCAAATACATTCTCACGGTGTTAGACCAAAAGGCGAAGGGCATAGTTGATCCGCTCTTGTATACGACCGAGGAGATGGAAAGTGCAGTGGAAGTGTCTGCCGTCCAGCCTTTTACTGCACCACCTTGGCAGCGTACACAACACTCCTTACCTGCTCCAGGCGAAAGAGAACGCCCAGCAGATGCCCACGCGCATTCGGGCGGAAGACGGTCGCCTATGATTGACCCAAGTCAAGGTGAGCTTTCTCTTACCTGTCTGCTTCTCGCGACCGGAAGGAAGGACGATCTAATTTGTCTCAAGCTATCGGGTGGGCTCTGACGGGCGCAACCAACTCGTCTCAACCAAACCTGAGTCTTCTGTATCAGTTACCCGCCCAGGCCGAGCCTGTATCAGACAAGCCAACATATTCATCCCAGTACAGCCATAGCTACCCTCACCTTCCCGTACAATCTGGCGATAGTCAGAACCCGAACTCTTATCCACATTCTCTGGAGCCGTCCAGAAATAGGGGGACTACGACGAGCACATCGATGGCACCCGGCCCGGAAAGATTTTCGCCGCTTGCACCCTCCGGACAAGTCACCACTTCTGAAGCCAATTTGCTCCTTGGCTTAAATACCTCTTTCCCAAGCCCCGCATCCAGACCCTCACATCCGCGACCAACATACAATCATCCTTCGTCTTCTTCTAGGTTCGAATCTCAGGCGCCTAGCTTTAACTATAGCTTACCTGCTGGCAGCGACCAGCAACACGGGGACGGCCAGATGAACGCACGGACAGTTCTCCACCCTGCTGTGGGCTCCCATGCAGGGGACATATTCATTCAGAGTCAAGACATTGACATGGCCACCCTTCAGCAACAAGATCAGCTCCCGTTCACATTCAGTGGGGAAATCCTTCCGTGGCTGGAATATCTGCCACAAGACGTTCTTAATTATTTTGGGGAGCATCAAAACTACCCTGCTCTGATGAGCCCTCATGATGAAACGCCACAAGCTCCCCATTGAGTGTGTACTTTGCTTATTACCCATACGATATTACTTGCCCGAGTCAGCTTTGTCATTGCTTGTCATGATCAGAGATAATATTCCTCTGGCGTTCGGGGATATATCTACACATATTTTACGGGCGGGAACAATTCAAAACGATAAACATACTGGATTGGATGTCATTCAATGTATATTGGCTATGATTGCTTGGAAATGTTGCATGATTCATGTTTTGCATCGGCGAGCATGTCCCAGGGTGTTCACTGTATGATTCTGGGGACAGTTTGTGATATATGAGTTGTGAGCGTGTTCGTATATTTATTATTTATGAGACCTGTAATTGTAGCTAACTATATCCCCGGATCTAAGTGTTATCTTTCTGCTTTCTCCAGGTTTCAGCCTTAGTTTTCTAGTGATGATGGGGATCTCCAGGCTAGAGCGGAGCCCATCAGCCAGTCAGAAGGACTGCAGGGATGTGGTTGCCCATCACGACCGGGCGGTGAGACAACAAGCAACAAAGCATCCAATCCCCCCCGATCGCCATCTCCAACAGCTTCTCTTTGAACTGAATGGTATGCGACCTAGAATACCATCTTGCTTCCATCTAGCGTGGCCCATCGAAGCTCAGCATTCTTCGTGAGATCCACAGGCTCACTGGCGGCCTTCTACTGGTGCTCGGATTGTAGTGGGGAACCATTTCCTTTTATACTTTATCTTCGTCGATACTGTTCTATGACCAACCTCCATGGACGACCACTCTAATGACCCCCAATTAACTGAGTATGCAGTCCCTACAGGCGAGGAAACCGACATCTCTCAAGGCTTTGCCTACGACCAGCACCCATCGGATTCCCCGAAGTTTCCGACGGCGCTATACGGACATCATGCCGAAATCGGTCCTTCCACTGAAGACACACAGATGTTAATTCACGACGGCGGCTACAACTCTTCGGATTCTTCTACGCATCACTCTGGTCACGCATTGAACGGCGATCTGGATGAAGACCTCCGTCATCAACGTTCCAGAGCTTCGAGTCGCTCTTCGGTCTCGTCGATCCCTGCCTCGGTGCTCACAAACATGGCGGATGGAATGAAGACGGCGATACATGACAATATGCTCTCTCACAATTGGCAGGACCATGATATCAAGGCGCATAGCAAGCTGGACGGACATTTGCGCTCAATGCGACACCGGGAAGCCACGTTCCGGAAGCCAAGCTCGGTAAAAGCAATGCAGATGCACACGGAGGATGAAGGGGACGATGATTTTTTGACCCCACCCAAGCGCAGAGGGGGGCAGCGCTTCTCGGATATTTCAATCAGGTCTGCCGGTTCATCGCCACTAAGAAAGTTTCACCATTATTCGCCCTCAGGGTCTGCAGGTAAGCCCAAGGTTAAAAAGGAGTACCCCCTGGTGCTTCTTCACTGTAACCTGCTTCCGCCCTCTCTCCCAGTGCCAGGCGCAATGGGCTACCACAATCAGAAGATACTACAAGAGGTTCTGCCTCCGGAGTATTGGAGACGCTGGAAGCTGCTGGAAGAGAAGGTCGGATCCGGTGTGCTCCGTGAACGTGGGGTGCTTATCTCTCACCCGGAGGACCTGTATGACTTGCTGGAAGAGCGGCTACTGGAGAGTTTAGAGCTACAGCGTCCAAGACTGGATCATGGGCATTTTCTGGGACATGATGAGAACGACTCTGAGGGGGACGATCAGTCTGTAAGAGAGAGTGCTACGGATGAGGAAGAAGGGGAGGAGTGTCCTGATTGTGGAGGACACGTGGTTCGCCACAATAACGAAGGCAGGAAATGGGAGATCAAAGTGTTCGCAGCCAATGGGCTGATGAGAGCTGGGGCATGGGCAGCTGCTTGGAAGGAAATGGAAAAGGTCGACGTTGAAGTTGGCCTTTGGCTTCCTTCGGAGATCAGGCGAGAGTTAGAGAGGCGATTGTTGGAGCAAGAGATGGACCACTTTGAGACTCGACTGCAGGTGCCGCATTTGCAGGCGCCTGAGCATGAAATGTCCGCTGAAGTGCGCCGCCCTTCGCTACATGGCCGTACACCTTCCTCGGCAATTGAAGAGCCCAGTGCTTTTGTTCCAGAAAAGATCGAATCCGCCCCAGCTACAGAGAAAGAAGCTGCTCCAGAGCAACAAATGCCAGAGCCACAGTATGTGCCACGATCAAGTGATGATATTGATCTACAGACATTGCTGGTGAACTACGTGCGAGTACTGGCTAGTGACCGACGCAACGTCGCAATCGCCGTGCTCAGCTTCTTGGTTCTGTTCCTCGCGGTCAATTCTGGGCCCCAAGCAAACCAGTCGGCTCTCCGGCCCTTTCCCCAGGACATTCTGGAAGCCGCATCTGCTTCTACATCAATTATGTCGCCGATGCATTCTTCGTCTGCGAGATGGGATAAGCCCACGAGTTGTGCAAGTTCAAGCATTGAGACCCAGCATATTGGGGGAATAAGCTCGATCACTTCTAGCTCTCGGGAGATTCTGCAAAGCGCGACGACGCCCTTGGGTTCAGTAGTGATTGCTTCCGCGGAGATTCCCAAGCCTGAATCCGATGATCCCCCAACGCCACAGGCAGAGCCCGAAGCAAGCTCTTCTGTGGAAAACCCGCTTGCTATTCGAGTTATGGAGCCGGTGACTCCAATGAGACTAAAGCCTATGGAGAATCCGGGGACGGAGGCCCCACTGGACCGTCCAGAACCAATTCAACCGGTGAGCCCGGCAATGGAAGTAGCCATCCATGCGAACCAAGAGGCGGACGACTGAACGACGTACATGAGCCATAATGCCGATAGGATGTGATTGACGACCGATATGAGATAATTATTATTTATTTTGCTTATTCTGTCTGACTTGTTTGCTTCTCTGCCGTTTGTGCCTGTTTCCGATTAATATCTCTCGATATGGCCTCTGTATTTACCTCCAGAAGTAGCGACCATCAATATGATGTTAACATTAGTTGCGCTGATCTACCTATCACAAACGATCGGTCAAAGTTTAACACTAACGTTGCAAGCGCGCCACTGCAGGGCAGGCTTGAAGTGACAGGTCATGGCGATAACCCGCTTCGGGCTCAATAAGATTCGATAACCTAGCACCACATCGTCAATCGTTTCTCCTCTCCTTGCTGATGTCCAGCTAATCAGCTAAACACATGATTAAACTCTGTATGTTTAAGGCCGTTATCAGTGCAGTGGCAATGCCAACTTCTGACTCTATCCCGCGTCTCCAGAGTGAAGTTCACGGCTTTTTATGAACGACATGCAGAATCCACATTTTCGCGCATCCGCGACCTGCAATAATATCTAAATTTATTGGATTCCCTAATAATTGAAGTTTGCGGTGAGTACGACAGTCTGCATCCTGCTAGGCATGTCCCTCTGCTAATAGGCCCTGCATATGACGGATCCAACATCTTGGCTATCGGACGGCATTATGACAAGCCCTAACCATGATCTTTTCGCTATACGTCTCGGGTTCTCCATCCCTTGCCTTGATCTTCGGGCATCAATGGTATCAAGTCTATGTGCCTCTTTACTTCTGTCATTATAAAAGCCTCAAACTCCTCCCAGAATGAAGGGGACTCAAGCACGACAAACCAGTCCGCGACTCGGCCCTGTTCGACTGTATATATTCCGTGGAACTAGGTAGTTGGTTCCTTGTATATTTCTTTCTTCTTTGGTTTCTTGAGCCCCAGCATGAGTATATCTCAAAGCAGGCTGGCCCTGTTGGCCCTCTGCTTCGTGCAATGGGTATCCGGCCGTGTTGTGCAATTCCAGCTAGACCTGACCTATGAAGATGTCAGCGTGGCTGGTGATGTACACAAGGCTATCGTGAGTAACGGACAGGTTCCTGGGCCCACGTTGTGGTTGAAGCAGGGCGATGATGTCGAATTTTTGGTCAACAATTCGATGTCGATCAGTACTACGGTTCACTTTCATGGTGAGTACTGCCTCTAACCAACTTCTCGGCTTCGAGTTCCGAAATATCCTTTTCTATTGAGCACTCACTGAAGACCCACAGGTATCGAGCAACTAGGCACCCCCTGGTCAGATGGTGTACCCGGACTCTCGCAGTTGCAGATCCAGCCGGGCGAGCAGTTTCTCTATAAGTGGAAGGCAAGCCAATATGGCTCGTACATTTATCACTCGCACACAAGGGCTCAGATTGATGATGGCTTGTATGGGGCTATCTACATTGAGCCGGCAGACTCCGTTGAGAGACCTTTCCATTTGATCTCTGGATCGGACGCGGACGAGCAGCAGGCGATGTTGGCAGCTGAAAAGAATACACGACCGGTTATCATTTCGGATTGGAGAGCGTTTTCCTCGCATGACATTCTCCAGATTCAAAATGAATCTGGTGTTGAGGCCTACTGTGCCAACTCTGTTCTGATCAACGGAAAGGGCTCAGTGATTTGCCCGTCCCAGGAACACATCAATGCTGTCACGACAGAGCAGCAAAAACAGATTTTGGGCAATGTGACTTTGACCGATATGGGGTATGTTATTTCCAAGTTTTGGGGATAGTAACAATGCTGATCCTGACTAGATGCCTGCCGCCCACGCCGGGTGTGGTGGGTCCGTATCCTTACGATCTCAGCAAGGTTCCCAAAGGCTTCTACGAAGGATGTACGCCTAGTGAAGGGCCCACAGAGGTCTTCAAGGTCAATGTTTCGTCGCGGTATGCTAGCTTTGACCTTATCAGTATGGCAGGCTCGACCTCCCTTGTGTTCTCCATCGACGAGCATCCGATGTATGTTTACGCAGTCGATGGCCGTTATGTTGAACCTCTGCTTGTCGACGCTGTTACTGTCCCCGTCGCCGCAAGATACTCCGTCATGGTGCCGCTCAAGTCGGAAGACCAAGCGGGAGACTATACTGTCCGCGTCGCCAACAATTATGCGAACCAGGTCATCAATGGTACCGGAGTTCTGTCATATGACACCGCTACGCCGAAGCAGATCGGTTCCTCGCAGCCTTACATTAATGAGGCTGGTTCTAATGCCACTGCTACTACGGTCATTCTAAACGAAACCGACGTGGTGCCCTTCCCTGTGGTAGCACCTGCTAAGAAGGCGGACCGGACCTACATCCTGAATGTCGAAAATGCCAATTCATCGTACACCTGGACCTTGGGCAACCAATACCCCATGTCGAACGAAGAGCTTGACCCTCCTGTCTTGTTCAACCTCAGCTCTATCTCGCAGGCGTACTCGGCAATGACAATGAACGGTACCTGGGTTGATCTCATCATCAACATCACCACTTCGGGCCAGCCTCAACACCCCATCCACAAGCACTCCAACAAGTACTTTGTAATCGGCACCGGCAACCAGCCCTTCATCTGGTCCTCCGTGGAAGAAGCAATGCAAGAGATCCCGGAAAACTTCAACTTTGAGAATCCCCAGATGCGGGACACTTTCTATTCGCCAAGCTCGGCTACGGGGCCGAGCTGGTTGGCGATGCGCTACCATATCGTGAACCCGGGGCCGTTCCTGCTCCATTGCCATCTTCAGATGCACCACGTCGGTGGATTGGCGCTGGCCTTGCTGGACGGGGTGGACGCCTGGCCGACCGACATTCCAGAGGGATATCAGTTGCCAGTGATGCCAATCTAGGGACTTTTACACATTGTACAGAGGTGGACGAGAGTATCTACTGTAATATGGCCATATAGCGCCTGTCATATAGATCCGATGTAATATTATTATCTACATAATGAAACTGCTAGGTGTTTTGCCAATTCCCGAGTTGTGGTTCCAAAGTGAGAGTGAGAGCAATCACACCAAATCGCGCACAGCAATCGCCTGGAGTGAATGGCAGTCGCGTGTTACCGAAGCCATTCACTGCTGCTGCCCTGCCTCGACACTCGTCTTCGAATCGACTTCTTCTTCTCACTTTGTTTACTCAACTTCTCTTCTCTCCTCCCGCTTCGTCGATACCACCGATACTCTTCTTCCACTTCGTGTGATCGATCTGTCGGTAATCCAACGGTTCATCTAAGCGTTCAATATTATCACCTGCACACTACCTTCTTCTCGTCCACTCGTCATTCAGAAACATTAACTTTCACGATAATCACTATGGAGCGGGGTTACGCGCCGAGAAATGAAAATATGCACTTTGGCACCCAATCCGGGCCCAGTGCCTGCAAATCCAAAAAGGGAGTGCCTTGCTTGCTCGGTCTTCCAAGTGAAATACTTGCTACTATCTTTGAATATGTAAGTAAAGACCTGTCTCACGTCCCTTGAGACCCAAAACGCGTACTAACTTTTCCTCACAGTCTGGTGAAAAGGGCCTCTGCAGCCTGGCTGGGGTGTGCCAGCAGTTCCACGGCATGGCCGTGGCGCTGCTGTACCGCAACCTCCACCATTCAATTCATGCAGACGATCCCGTCTACACTCAGGACTCCCTGGATCGATTCACGGCCATGGTGGAAGCAGTGAGTACCAGCAACCTTCAGTACGCGTCGTGTGTCAGGGACATTGAAGTGAGGCATATTGCGCCCTACGAATCAGATAACAGACAGGGAATTGTGGTTAAAAGGCCAAGTCAGAGTTACGAGGCAGGCCGATACCTCAGTAGTCTTCTTGTCATTTCTCTGCGGAAGACGACTGGTTTAACTAGCTTTAGGTGAGTTACACAAGACAGTGTCAAATACATGATAGGCAATGTGCTAAGTTCTTCAGTTGGGATATTCGCCTGGAACTTACACCCTCTGTGTACCAAGCGCTCAGTAGAGTTCCTGACATTCGCGACGTCCATATCCGTCTCCCAGCACGCACGACTCCAGGGCCCACTGATGCTACACTTGGACAGATGCTCCAGACTCCACATTTCCACTTCAACCAAGATAATCCGCCGCCCAGGGAAATCCGGCCCAGCTGCACTGGTGCCGAAGCTCAGTTGCTGAAGGATCTCGACAAACTTCAGCATGTGCCAACTCTTTCCCTCCTTTCGGGACTCAAGAATCTCTCGGTGTTGGATATTGAGGATCTGAAACTGGTGTTGCAACTCCCGCAGTGTATCTCGCAGTGCTCGTCAACGTTGAAGTCGCTCAAGTTGTCGTTCTCCGACGAGCTTGCAAAGTCGGCGCGGAAGAAAACAGCTTCCAATTCGGCGCCAGATGCGACGATGACATTCGGGGATGTGCTCATTTTAGCCGCACCGCAGTGGGAAGACGACCTCCTTTTGGCTCCGCAGGCCACTCCAGTCGATCCTGCTCTGCCCTCAGATCCCGTGGTCCGAAGGGAACGCTCCATTCAGGAGTCAATTCTGGCGTACATCTTCAAGGTGGAAGATGGCGACCATCGCAACAAGTATCTGGAGGAAGCCCTGCTGGAAGGCAATGCCCGCAAATCGCAGATGGGGGACAATGTCGTTTCGGAAGAGACAAGGGACCGAAAGTTTCTGAAGTCTGTACGCTCAATGGTCCGTGTGCTGCCAAAGATGATGGTGCTTAACTCGGAGAATCCAGCCATCATCAACGTACTGCACAGGCTCGACCAAGCTGCAACTCAGTACTTGGGCCGCAACCCCAAGCAGCCGAGCGAGAGCATTGTCAAAGCGAGTGCCAGCAATTCTGCCCCAACCAGTGCTCCCAAGCCCTCTCCGTTGAACAGCGGCAAGACCGAATTCTCAGTGAGCAAGAAGAAGGAGAAGTGTCCGACCGACGTAATCGACATGGAGTATCCCGACATAGTCGAAGAGGAAGGAGACGATCAGGTGTTCATCGATGAGACACATCGGTCAGTTACAGAGGGTAGTGTCCGGGCTTTTGCGCGCCAGCCAGTGCGGGCAGCAAGGCCCAGTTCATCTGCCGACAAAGGAAAGGGAAAACAGCCGGTCAGAACCCCTCCGGTCGAAATGCGCACAGCAGAAGAGGCGCGAGAGTGCTATGTCCGCAACACCCATGGCATCCCACTGGAAAGCCTTTCTATCCATCTCATTCCAGTGACCGCCGGTGTGCTTAGCAAGGCTGTTGACCTGACCTCTCTCCACCACCTGTCGCTACTCAACGTTGGTCCGCAAAGCACGCTCTGGTCTTTCCTCAAGCGACTCAACCAGATTTATCCTCTCCCACTGACATCCATCCACACGGACAATGTCACGCCCGCGTTCTGCAGCTTCATCAACAGCATGGACAAGATCACCGAGCTGTTCCTGTTCGAGCGCTTCAGTAAAGCCAAGGTGGAGTCACTGGCCGCCAAGACCACCGTGAACGCAGTCACCATTCGCAAGGAGATCCTAAACAAGCACATGGGCAACCTCCAGCGATTGGTAATCCGCAACGACGAGAGTGACAGCTGGACTGCCGACCCGGCCACCATCCTACAGATCAGCCAGCGGGGAGGCAAGCTAATCGAGCTCGGAGTTTCTGTGAACAACTGCAGCATCGTAAGTCAACCCCTCTTCCAATCTAATCTGGTATAATACTAACCTTAATAGCACTATCTCATCCAACAAATCGGCAGCTTCCGGTCTCTCAAGGCGCTGCAAGTCTTCTGGTACCGCCAGGACATGTGCACGACCACGCTGCGCGAGGTCCAGCACAGCCTTATCGACGGCATCCTGCACTTTCCACACCTCAACATCGAATACGTGGCCATGTGCCATTGCATGCACGGGCCGATCGCTAACGGCGCGATTCAGATCTCCGGTCGCTTCAGACATCTGACCAAAGCGTGCGCGATCCTCCGAGAGGCAGCTGCTCAAGACAACCCTCAGTCTTCGTCTTCTTCGCAGCCAGCTTCGGCTACTAACGTCCCGCACGGCATGATGTTTCCGGTAGAGAATAGTGAAGGTGACGCGGTGCCCTTGTTTGGGGTGGAACTGACCACGCGGGCGTTGCTGAGCATCGAGGACATCAGCGGGGTGAAGATGTGGGAGAAGGGAGCGTGGGAGATGAAGTTGTAGCCGATCCCAGACTGCTGCTGCTGTAGCAGCCTGGGATCGGCTCGAGTGTATGATTACAAGATGTTTTCAGATGAAAGTTGATGAACGTGAAGGGGGACGTGATGGAAAGTGGATGCGTGTGAGAAAGAAGAATGAGAAAGGGAAGAGGGGGACAGCAAGCAGATTAAATAGATCTCGTTCATCGTGTAACACGCTTAGTCGCCTCGACGATGTAATCGAGATGATATTCACAGTTCAGAATGGCATCTCATCATCCTCATCTAACATTATCCTCCCTAATTATCTACATCCACCACAGCTAACTACACCATAAAATACTACTATACTAATACAAATAAATGTATGAGGGCTTCCCACCATCACATGCCCACTTCCCCTCTTAGTCATCGCCAGCTCCACTTCCCTCCAATTTCCTTCCCGGCCCATCAACTCCCGCCATAGGATGACATCGTTGCTCTTTTTCTTCCTCTTTCTTCTTGCTTCCTAGCTACTCTCCAACTACTTCCACACACTCTTTTTTCCTTTTTCCCCCGTGAAAAAGCTACTGTATATACTAGCCGCAAAAATGGGAGGCAAGAAAGCCGCCGGCGAGAACTCCAAGAAGGCTGCGGGTAATGCTCGTGTGCGTACCACCTCTATACTGATCTATCTTCTCTCTGCAAAATATTACCCCGCCCCCGCTCCATCACCACCAGAACCATATTCTCAACCACAACTACATAAGTATAGGCAAAAGCTGACCAGATCTTCTATATGGGTGTAGAAAGCCGAAGCAGCCGCCAACAAAAAGGCCGCCGAGGACGCCAAGCGCGCCGCCGAGGAGGACGCTAAGTGGTCCAAGGGCGCGAAGGGTGGTAGCAAGCGGTATGCAGACCCAAGTTATCAACATATCCCGTCCAAAACCAAAAAAGCACCCACTAACATAGTCTTTTTAATAAAAACAACAGCGACGACGCTGAAGCCAAAAAAGCCGAAGCCGCGCGCAAGAAGGCCGAACGCGACGCCCTCCTCGCCGCCGAAGAAGCCTCCCAGCCCAGCAAACCCAAGAACAACAAAGCCGCAGCGAAGAAGAACGCGGGACCCAGCCGAGGCACATTGGATTTGTCGCAGCTCGACGATACACCAGGGAGCAAGAAGGCTTCTGCGCTCAATGCCTCCGGTATCGACAATGCGCTCGACGCACTGTCACTTACGGGTAAGGATAGCGGCAAGATCGATCGGCATCCCGAGAGACGGTTCAAGGCGGCGTATGCGGCATTTGAGGAGAGACGGTTACCTGAGATTGAGGCTGAGAATCCTGGACTGAGACGTAACCAGCGCATTGAGATCTGTAAGAAGGAGTTTGAGAAGAGTGAGGAGAATCCGTTCAACCAGGCGCATGTGGCGTTTGATGCTAGTCGGGAGGAGATTGCGGCTGTGAAGGAGGCGGAGAGGAAGAAGGTTGAGGCGAGGTTGGCGAAATAGTCTGTTTGTTCTCTTTCTCTCTTTCATTTTGTTTGGGTGGATGATATAGTTGGGTTTTGGAGAGGATGATATACCCGGTTTGCCCGTGGAGGGATGGATATTCTATACAAAAAGCATAGAGCGTATGGCTCATAGCAGATGAGATGATTAACGATGCAATGGTATCATGCAATCTATATCCATGTCCAATACACAATACACAACACAGAATCAACGGATGAATGAATTACCCCATCACGGCCCTCACATCCCACACATACAAACTCTCATCCCATCCCACACTCGCACACCATCCCTCACTCCCAAACAAACACCAATCCACCCCCGTCACAAACTCCGTATGCCGGCCCATCCTCCCTAACTCAACCCCCATATTCGGTCCCGGCCCAGCCCGCATCACATCGACATCGCCAACCGCCCCCGGCGGCGTCTGATCACTCCAAGCCCGACACGTCATATCATAACTGGCACTCAACAACACATCCGACAAATGCGGCGACCACGCCACCTTCCTAACCGCATACTCATGTCCCAGCATCACCGTCTGCGGTCCCTGCCCGGGCGCCCGGATATCAAACGTGCGAATCGTCCGATCCACCCCCGCCGTAGCTATCGTCGACGGCCGATACTTGTTCCAATCCATCGTCAACGCCTCCGCCGGCGCCGTCGCCGCCATCGGTCCCCCACCCGGCACTACCCCTCCACCACCTCCTCCATGAATCGGCACCTGCAAAGTCAAATGATTCGACGCCGATGCCGGCGTCCGTAGATCAAACACCCGTAAATACGAATCCGACGACACACACGACAAGATATCTGGCGAATGCGGAGAAAAAGCCGCGCTGTACGTGCAGCTATGCGTCGGCAGAGTGAGGAGGGAATGCGGCCGATTGGGCGTCCACACGCGCACTGTCCCGTCCCAACTACTACTGCAGAAACGGTCCTTCGCGACGAGGTTCCAGTGCACGCTGAAGACTTCGCGGTTGTGCTCTTTCCAGTTTTGGATTGGGAAGTCGGCGACCTCCGTGTCGAAGAGCTTGATGCTTCCGTCGCCGGAGGCGGTTAGAACTTGGTTTTCGTGTATTTCGGACCAGGCGAGGTCGTAGAGGGAGTCTTGGGTTGTGAACCTGGGTTTTTGGTGTGTTGGTTAGTTTGGTTGGGGGTAGGTGGGGGATGGGGGAAGGGATACCATTTGTAGGGAACTATTCCGTTCGGTGTCAGCTCAAGAATGTAGAGACGGCCATTGCCGACTAGGCCGAAATTGGCGGATGAGGCGACGGCGAGGCGGTTATCGAAGAAGGGTGAGTACTTGACTGCGCAGCCGTTGAAGCCTTCCGTGCGGAAGTGGAGCATTTTTGAAGGGTATCGGAAATGGAGTGGAGATGGTTGAAGAAGTGAGAGGGGGGAGTTAATTGGGGTAAGGGATCATGGCGCTATGAAAGTGAGGGGAGGAGTGGTGGATTGTTGGTTGGTGTTGGTGTTGAGATGGAGAGATAAGTAGATGATGGAGATGCAGATGGACTGACTATGGACTGACTGCGGGGAGTCAACGTGCCGAGGTTCAGTCACTATCGGGGCAAAATGATGGCTTTGCGGCATAAAATATATGCCTCAGGCATACAAGTCCGAATGTCAGTTTGCTGAGCCTCAACGACGGTGGACGACAAAATCACCACGCCGCCCGACCAGATTTAAGTAATGATTGGCTGTTTCCGAAGTTTACAGCCCAAGTTTTACTTAAGACCGTAAGCGGACTAGTTCATGGCACCGCCCTCGAAATGAGTTCCTTCAAGCCCAGAGGCCCTAGACACGTGATACATCCCATGACCTTGGCCGCCAACGAAAGTCCTTACTCTTTTGAGAGGATGTACCTGGATACCCGATGAGGCAGGCGCCAGTGCCCGATGCTTAGCCAACGTCCTGATCTTCTCCTCCTCCTTCCAATGACCCCATATTCAATCAGTACGCTCTCGTCAGAGCCATGTTATCTAATTAGTATTGATTCTATTTGTCGTATTCTTAGTCGTTTTGATTTTCTTGCTCGCATTCTACGGACTCGTTTTTAATACCTACGAAGAGTCCCTCTAGAAAGTACTCATCCAAGCCGATTCCTGACTTCCTTATATGTAGACTCTGTGTCTTCGAACTTTGTGATTACAGACCCTTTGCAAGGCCAACCAGGCTGTGACCACTCTAATTGGCAGCAATGGACTGGTCTAAGACAGTCTTTCGTCTGCGCGCATTGCCAGACACTGTGGAAACCAAAGACGATGCCGCTCGTCTACTTAGCGAGCGGCTCAGCGATGTCTCTGCGCGCCAAATTTGGGTGTATTCCCTAGCGCTGGCCCTGAGACCCCAGGACAACTGGGAAGGGCCTCCCACTAAAGTAGCAACTGTTATGTTCAGTGTCCCCCCTTTACTTGTCCAACGCGATCCACAAAAGCAGGTGTGGTATATCCCCGCCAAAGGCCATGACCGTGATAGCCCAGATCTCATCCTAGACACTCAGTTCCTAGGTCTGACACCTTTGAATGATACAAATCACTTGCAAAACTCGTACGAGTAAGAACTGCCACATCTCTCTGACACAATCGGCCTTTGACCGTTGGTTAGTTGCATCGCCATCTCGGGTCTGGCGAGTCACCCTTTCGGATCCTGGCAGCCAAAAGGAAGTGACAAGCGCTTCATGTGGATTCGTGATGATCTGGCCAGATATGCGCGAGGAACTCGGGCCATACTTTACGGTTATGACACCGAACTTGACAGAAGCAGCTCCTTTCAAACTATCTACGACCTTGCCAAGCAGCTAATCGAACAATTGCATGCCTACCGGGGCCCGGGGTCTGTAACGCCGCTGGCTTTTCTAGCCCATAGTCTGGGAGGACTGGTTGTTAAGCAGGCTTTGCGGGATCTGGCCAACAATTACCCTGGCCGTGAATATCAGAATCTTCTGGCTGCTGTGCGCGGAGGAGTCTTCTTCGGCGTTCCGAACATGGGTATAGAGCAGGGGGGATTCTACTCCATTGTCCACAATAATGCAAACGAATTCCTAATCCGGGATCTGTCTGGGAGGACAAATTTCTACCGCGAACTCACAAAAGCATTCGCCGGCATCCCCTTCAATGAACATTGCACGTTCTTTTGGGCATACGAAACGAAAGAGTCGCCCACGGTTATTGTATGTGACTATCATTATCACTAATCGATATGACACGCTAGCAGAGTACCACAGCTTTCTAACTAGCAACAGAAAAAAGGAGATGGCCAACTAGCTCGAGACGGATCCACAGCCATTCTAGTGAGTCCGGAGTCTGCAACATGCGGGTTTGTCAACATCAATCCTGCGGTAACCTTTCCGATCAACGCCTCCCACTCCGATATGGTGAAGTTTAACCAAGATTCTCACTACTATTCAATTGTGCGCGCAAAATTGTCGCAGATTTTACGGCCCACCCCTCAGCCGCAAGATGACATAGACGCTGATGGACAGAGTTGCAATGTGTTGCACACAGTTTCTGATGATGTGATTAGGCCTTTCCAGCAGATTGATTCAACGAGCACAACGACTTCATTAGCTGGCAGCCTTCCGCTGCTGCAGCCACCACGCAGCATATTTGGTAAGCGCAATCTCGTAAGTTTCCTCTACTTCAATCACACACTCACGTCATATATTAGCGGATCTCGAGAAGTTCAAGAGAGTATCACAACTCACTGAGGGCGAAAAGAATATTTTTGTTGGCACAACATTGAGTGTACTTCAACATACAATCAGTGAGATCCAAATGCAACAGGAATTATCCAGAGACATGAAGTACATGGCACGACTAGAACCGTTCCTGGTATCGATGGAACAGTTTGGCCAGCTGACGGAAGACATCCTGTTATTCTCCAGTAGCTCTAATAGCATGGCGTACGTATGGGTAAGATTAACCAGCATGCTCCTGTGGCCGATTATCTTATTGACTAGTAGGTTGACATTGTTCGCAGGGTCCAATGAAATATATCCTTGATGTACGCTTGACAACGCGCCCAAGATCTTATATTTTCTGGCTGATATTCTACTATACTTAGGCCACCTGTGGCTACTCAAAGGAGTTCGACTCTATCTTGAATGCCTACCAGTCGATCGGAGACCAGATGCCTCGAATCGGCCAACATCATGCTCTTTTTGTCGAATGTCCTCACCTGAGGGATGTACTAGTAATGATCTACAAGGATGTTCTTCTTTTCCACGCTGAATTAATTCGGCACCTGAAACCTCGGCGTGGGTGTCACCATCGCCATTTACACTAGCTTGTGACAAAGGCTAATCTAACTCTAGAATTGAACCAGCTGTTCCACGCCTGGATGAGAGACTTTACTACCAATATTGACGAGATTTCGGAGAGAACTGCGCGGAACAAACGGCTGATCGAGAACAGGGTCTCTCTTGTGGAATTCGAAGCTATCAGAAAAGATGATTCAATATCCGCACGTGCACTTGAACGTGAGAAGGAGGCTATGGTGAAGGTTCACAGAGATACAGTTGAGCATTGGCTCTCTGCATTCGACATCAAAGCAGAACACCGCATTCATCAAGAGAAGAGAAGAGTTTGCCAGGACCCTGGACGCTGGCTACTCAGTAGTCCCGGGTTCAAGACATGGTCAAGCCCTGATGATTGGTTGAACCCACTGCTCTGGCTCAGTGGAATCCCAGGAGCAGGCATGTGTTCTTTCAGGACGTGAACGAAAGGAGATATGCTGAATATCAAGTGCAGGAAAGACCGTTCTCGCTTCTATCGTGATTGACGAGCTTTCCAGACTTCCTGGCGCAATCGTCGCGTATTTTTATTGCAAGCATGGCGATGAGAAACGTAATACCGTTGAAAGTGTGACAAGGTCGATCTTGGCACAAGTCCTTGAACAAAATGCTGAATTACTGCCATACTTCCATGAAAAAGCTCACATGAACGCGTCATTAACATCACCCGCATTCTCTGAGCAGATGTTGTGCACTTCTCTTAGAAGTTGTGAGAGGGTCTATATCGTTCTTGATGGTTTAGATGAATGTGGGCGCGCTGCTAGGAAGAATATCGTCAGCCGTTTTCGCCAAATGACTGATGCTGCAATAGATGTGGGCTCCATCAGGTGTCTCTTCGTCAGCCAGGAAGACGGGGCGGCTGCAGAAGATTTCCATGGCATCGAATGCATCAAGATCGAAAAACGTAATTTTGATGATATCTCGGCTTTTGCCGGCGTGTGGCAGCAAACTCTAGTTACCAAGTTCGGACGAAACAATAGGGTCTTGGATATCCAAGATATCATATCAAAGCGGGCTAAGGGTAAATTATTTGAGAGATTTCATATCATCTGGGAGATGTTGGACCTAAATTGTTTCTACTAGGAATGTTTATTTTCGCCGAGCTGTTCGCGAAATACCTCGCGGAGCGGCTGAGTCTCGAAGACCTCGAAGACCAGCTTCGTCCTGATAATCTTCCGGTGGAGTTGGATGATCTGTAGGTTTTAGCTTCGCGGATTTTCAATGTGGGGCTGACGGTTTGCCATCTAGCTATGAGCGGATTCTTGGTCGTATCCACGAAGTGAGAGACGTTGAAACTATGAGGCATATTAAGGAAATGCTAGGATGGATTGTCTGTGCCCGTAGGCCACTACGATGGGAAGAGATACAGACCACAGTCTGTATCAGTCCGAAAGTGGGAAACTTTGATATTCGCAGACGACTAGTCGATTCGCCAAGGGACCTGTTTGCCTCCCTTGTGGAGTGCCATCCTGATGGCACTGTCGATCTTGTCCATGGGACTGCGCGGCAGTAAGATATCTCAAATGGAGCACAGGCGGTCAACTACTGACTGCGCTAGATATTTGACAAAAGGAGGATTGGAGAAAGGCCCTAGAAAAGAGCCGGTGGTAAGGGTCCACCAGGCGCAATTTTCGCTAGCGATGCGCTGTCTCACGTACCTCTCGTTCCATCAATTCAACCTTGATCGGGATGAGCATGATATCAAGTCGGATATGCTTAGCGGGTTCCATCACCTGTATGACTATGCGTCTGCTTGCTGGGCTATGCACCTGGAAGGGGGGATTCTGGGTCTTGAAAAGGACGACCTCATTCGTCTACGCGAGGCTTTAAGGAGATTAGTTGAAAAGCACTGGTCCGAGTCACACAAGCCCATTCAACATGTCGAAAGAGTGCGCACAGCCTTATCACCTTTCGCGGAACTTGAAAGCACGGAACCAACGGATTACAACCGACTAGTTCAAGCGGTCGCCTGGGCCAGGAAGCAGTCTGGCCAGTCCGGGATAGGCCCCAGCAACGAGGAGGCGCTCACCTTGTGGAGGGTAACAGCCAAGATCAGGTCTGTGTTGGAAAATATTGATACGAAAGGTGACGACTATGCGATAATCAAGCGCCTCTACGGCGTGAACCGCTTCAAATGCCCTCGGGTCAATTGTTACTACTATCATTACGGCTTCCGTTCTCTTGACCAGCGGAACCGACATACCAAAAAGCACACGCGACCATACCTCTGTGTTGTCACGGGCTGTCCGATGGAGGTCTTTGGCTACGCGCAGGAAAAAGAATTGCAAAAGCACTTATTCGATGTGCATCACATCAACGATACCAGCGATGGAGACGAGCCAGACTTTCCTAACCCTCATAAAGAGAAGGCATCCAAGTCCGGAGGAGGTGAGGGAAGATATAGGTGTCCCGACTGTGACAAGACTTTTACCCAAAAAAAGAGTCTAAATCGACATCAGAGAAGCCACGCTAGTGAGAAGTCATTCTCTTGTACCAAGTGCAGCAAAGCCTTCACGCGAAAAGAGGACTGCGAGCGCCATCAGGATGTACATAGTAACACCAAGGAAAAGTACGTCTGCGCCGGAACTCTCAAGGACGGGACGAAGTGGGGGTGCAATAGATCCTTCACCAGAAAGGACAAACTCAGGGATCATTTCCGGCCAGAGAAGAAACTCAAGTGCATATTGCCTTGGCTGCGGGAGAAACAAGCAGCTGGTGGTGTCGATGGAAATTATCTGGATGGCAACGTGTTTGCTGATCAGAAGGGGGCCAACGCCGAGGTCCTGCTCATGGCCGGGCGAAAATTGCCCCCGTTTCGCGTTTTTCTGGAGAAATGTGGCCTTTGACGTGTTTAAGGTTAGGTCAGACTCGGTTATTGATGCTGTTGCATCTCGCTACGCTAAGACCATAGCATGATGTTCCTTCTACCGTAGTTCGCGCTCATCCAATGAGAGCTGCAGTTTTCGTAATTGACCGCTCTCAATTATCTATATATGGGTAAGCAACTCTGGTGGTTGACAGAAAGCAGACACATTCTTTGCCGTTCTAATACGATGAACTCTGGAGCCTCACCTTTTCAACTGTCCCCTCCATCACATATCGAATGACATAGATCTTCTTTCCCTGGCCCCAACGTAATGCGCGTCCAATTGCCTGACTCTCCACTGACGGGTTCCACTGCGGTTCCAGTATGTGAACCCGGCTAGCGACGGACAAGTTATTCAAGCTGGGTTCAACTCCGTCAGCCCGCGGGCTCTCTATCGACCGGTATACTGGACTGAGCGCGCACGCAAGACCAGAAACCAAAAACACAGAATTTGTATCGTAACTTACCCTACCGCACCCGTTCCTATAGTCATTAAAAGCACCCGGACAGCTGAGTTGTTCTGGAACTCCTCGAGCATAGTCTGCCGTTTCATCGGACTCATGATGCCGTCAACTCGGCAAAAGGAAATGCTATTTTGGTCGAACATTCCGCCCAAGACATCGAGACTTTGTCTCCAGAAAGAGAAGACTATGCTGATTGGTTTTGCATAGCTGCTTAGCAACGGGAATACAAAACAGGCAAAAGAACTAGATGCGCTGCGAGTATTTTGGGTATAGTTACCTTTTATCCTCCAAATAGTGCTTTCGTATATCGGTGAGTAAAGTCACCAATTTTGAAGGATATACATCGTTGGCCTGTGGAGAATCAATAGGATAGGGCAAGTCTTGCTCAGTGCTAATGGTCTGCTCATTGTCAATCATTTCATCATCGGATGTTGGAATTGTTGTTGTTGTGATTGCTGTTGAAATCTTGATGTCATCTGAACTCTCTTCATCCTCCATGAAACCTGCCTTTANACGAGCACATGTTTGGCATTCCAGCACACGGTGGCGACTGAATGAGAGCCAGGAATCCAACGAGGACGTTGTACTCTTACCTTCGTCATCGTCATCCGAATCTAACGTGAGTATCTCCATATTACAGATAGAGCACGTATTTTGACCACTCTGTTGCAGTAGCGTGACTATTTCGTCTGACGACAACCTCCGAGCGTCACTATTAAAATCAGCCCTTCCGCCCAGAAACACACTTCTCAGGCCGGTGTTGCAAAACATGCGCAACCGCAATTTAGCTGTCAGAATCAGCTTATCTGCTCGTCCTTTCGAGGTTGGCATGTTTGTTGCAGCTTTAAGGCGCCTGTCGTAAGCCTTGACCAGCTCATCGTAGACTCTGCGTTCGGCCTCCGAGAACGACGAACGATACGTGATGAAGGTGCCCCCGAGAGCCGGAAATACCGTTGACATTTTACGTCTCAGGCAGATGGCTGAGAGAAGACACTTGAGGTTGGCGTAATTAGGTTGGTAGTGTACACTACGAGCGGATCTAGACGACGTTTTTGTCATGTATTTGCGGAAGCCCACAGCGCTGTCCAAGTACGGGATGCGGAGGAACTGAACGAGCGATGCGAGATCCTTAAGCGAATTCTGTATCGGTGTCCCTGTCATGCACCAGCGGATCGAGGCCGAAATTTGCTGTATCGCCTTGAACTGTTTCGTGGAGGCATTTCGTATAACGTGAGCTATGTAAAATGAATCAGCGTCCTGCAATTATCACGGAAGAACAGTTTCTGACCTTCATCGAGTATCAACCTGTGCCAGAGAAATCTGCTAAGTACACTGTTCCCGCCGCTGCTACTGAAATCCGCTTCAACTGTGGCATAAGTTGTGAAAATGATATCATCTGAAGGGGGCGACGACAACGAGATGCAACGCCCTGGGCCATGATATTTATAATATTTCAGGGCCCCGGGAATGAGGTGCCTGTTGCAGAGTTAAAAAGGGGGTTCACTTAGATAAGGCTATCACCAAATTATTGTTCTTACTTTCTGACTTCGTCAATCCAACCGTGCAGCAATACTAAGACCCAGTAAGTCGTGGTGAATAGACCCGAATGCTTGAACCAAATTGTAGGTACTCACAAACAGAAGGCACGACAACAAGCGTGGATTTCGCACTAATCAATTTCAAGTCTGCCGGTTTCTCCAATGTTATTATATCACAGGGTGGGGATGTCACTATGCTGGCGATCATGCTGAGGGTTTTTCCCACACCCATATCATCCGCAAGAATCCCGCCACGAACGTCCACGGGCTCCGGGCTTTTCGCGCCAGTAATTATGTGCTTATACCTGTATTCTTTCCTGTAAATAGGTGTGTTGTGGCCTAGAGTTGAAGGTTTCCACACATACACGTGCTCTTTCCAGGTCCAGCTTTCAAGACGCCACAGTGTGCTCTTAGTTCGAGAATGGGTAGATTCTCGAGATAGGATAAAGTCGACTGCTTCCCGCTGGTGCCTACAACAAGTCTCAATTTTTTTCCGAAGATCAAAATCAAAAACGAAACTGACTCACCTTTCAAGCATTGTTCGAATACGGTTATCGACGTCTATCTCGGTTCGCAAAGCCTGCTGCGGAAAATCATCAAGAATCGCTCGAGCATCATCGTCATCATATTCGCAATTATCATGGCCTTGATCTTCTTTACCCAGCACGTCGAGGCCGTCTGTATCGTTCTGCTTAGTGATCCCCAAAATAGGCGGTAGGATCGGCCGGTCGAGACACGGCGCTCCCGCCAAGGACAGGTATTGGGGATTATTATACTCAAGGTCTGGCTTCGGGTCAGGATGCTGCAGGAATAAATGGTGCTGGGCGAGTTCCCTTGCCAGGACCTGCGCGATAGAAGGCGAGCCGATGACGAGGACGGACATTGTACATGTCACCTTCGACGACCACTGAGCAGTAGGTGAAGACTCTGCTACAGATTTTATTCTCTGCTGGAGCTCAAACTTTGGTATCACACCCAGCCAGGTTGGGGGCTCTGGTAACCTTATAGAGCTGAGTGCATGGTGGGTTTTGTTATTCAGCGTTGCGATGTAAATCCCTTGTTTTGATACGATATCGCAACGGTCATCTTGTATGAAGAGATTTAACGAGGCGAANACTTCATTGTCCCCTAGGATTTCATCGAAGCATAGAAATTGCGAATCTTGAATGTGGTTGATTTGGATTTGGATGTTTCTCAGCTACTCCGTACAGCATATCAGCTACAACAAGTAGATGGAAGAGCCCTCAAGGGTGAAAGCAAAGGAGGAAGGAATAATAGTGTCTCCTATCACGTACCATTCCAAAACATACTATACGATCTTTCTCATACCCTTTAATCCTTTGCAAAATCTGGTCATTGATATTGAGGTCCTGTGGGGCAGATACTTCAAATGGGTGTGAAGGTAAGCGATTCTGTTGAAGCACTTGCCATTGCGGTCCTGGAAATCCTGTTCTTGCATCGTGAGAGATAGTCGGAGAAAGGAAAGAAGGGTAAAATAAGAAAAACAGAATAACTATATAATAAAAAGAAGAAGAAAGCGCGATCGCCGGAGTGGGAGGTGGTTATCTCCTCCGTATAGTCTATCGCAAATGTGCACTCACGGGTAGCCTGGGTATATGGCAGAGGAAGTTCGCCGCGACAACGGTCCTGCTGTAGCACAGGATGCTGATATTCCATACCAGAAAAATCACAAGGAGTTGCTGTGCCCGAATTAGAGCTGGACGCGCTGACGAGATGCTCGTCAAGCCTGACCCGCTTGGTTTGAGGATAGTCGGCCTCGCCGTGGATGCCATTGTCCCCCAACTCCGGAACCCGCTTTGACAAGGGGCACAAAGACATATCTTCGGAAAAATCCATATTGGTGTCGCCTAATCTTCTCCTTTCATTTCTTCTTCGCCGAACTGTGAAGTGTTGAGGTGAGAAACGAAAGAAATAATCCTCTAGCCGCTTATCGCACTTCTCTAAGCTAAGGCACTGCCACCCGGTAGTTGCAGCAGGGCACGACCACCTGCATGATCACCAGATTCAAAGGCACGCATTCGCGAGGCTGAGCCTGTGTCAAATCATGGTTTGCTTAACATCATTTCAATTGCTTCACCTTTCGGCTCTTACTTGTTTGTTTTTTCAATTCACCGCAGGTCTGTCCGCCAAAGATCTGCGATATTTGGGCGTTTAAGGCATGATTGGCCTTAAGACAGTCACACAGTTTTTCTATACGCTCTCCGCTCTCTCTGCATCTGCCTATTGTACATCATTGTGAACCCAAGGTGATAAGAAAACAATAAGATCCATAACATCAGCATAATCCACACCAGAACCACTGTGAAGAAAATAGACGCCAAGGTGAAGACGACGCAAACCCTCTGAAACTGCCGATTCCCCTGCAGCGCGTCGGTCGCCAGTCCCACTTGCATGGCCGACAACAGTACTGACATGTATACCAAAACCGCCAGGATCCACGAAAAATTACGCTCGAAGAACTCCTGGTACCATGTTGAACTGGGAAGAAACCCAAAAACGAGGTTGCGGATAGAAAAGGTCGCGGGCGCTAATCGGTACAGGGAATTCAGGCGGCTCAGGCGCAACTCACCAAACTCGTAGCGCTTGTTGATGATTGCAGGCTGGGGCTGGGAAACATAATCCTTTTCTGTGGGCAGGGAAGTACTACATCTATCTTCATCATTCTTATTGTCTATCCACTCGAGGAACTGCCGGATTAGCAGTGTCCATGCATCCCAGGTGACATCACTGGGAAGAATGCGCTCATCCTTGGCGAGTTGGAAATCGATCAATCCAGTAATGAGCCACGCGTAAGAGAGAAGCAGCCCACACGCCGCGGCGTGCAGTTCGCGATGAGGACAGAGCTCCCGCACCCAAAACTCGTGGTCCAGGAGATATTCTGGGACGGGTTTGATGAGGATCTGTCCGGGGCTCCAGACCAGGTGCTCATCTGGCGATTCTGTGAGGATAATCGTACGCTTCATCAGCTTCTGTCGATGTAGTGGCCGGGCTGCCCGTGGGAGGCCAGCGAGCCATAGCAGATGATGGATTCGATTCAACTTCGGCGTCGTCAGTTGGAAGTCCAAATAGCGCTGTAGATCTTCGTCGGGCTTTATCAACTCGTGCTGGAAGTTTACGCCTGCTGGGTGCGTATATTGATGGGAAGAGCGGAAGCTCGCAGGTTTGGAGAATGGCGGCGTCATTCCATGGCTTTCGCGTCTCTCTGACTGGGGGGAGCATTCTGTAGGAAGCGATGCAGTATTGTTCGCCATACTAGAACTGAAGAGGGGTTGTAGGCAAAGCTATAATAAACCCCTTCCCTCTCTGTCCATACCGAATATGTAGGATCATCAAAGACCCAGCGTCGGAAGATTATTAACAAACCCCTGACGCTCGAGCACCCCTTTAGAGTAGGCTAGGGGCAAGATTCTGGAAAGAATTTCACGAGCACATCGAATGTGTCGTCAGTCTCTTGAGCAAAGACAAGGATATGGCCACTGACATGGTGTCCACTTGGATGTCGGAATGGCTGCATAATCATGGATGCCTACGATTTTACCCCCTAAGCATGGCAGCAAACTAACTGACCGCTACTTAGACCATTACTCTCTGGCTGGGCAAAAATCACGACTCACGACAATGATTGGGTTGGGCATCATCAGGGCGGTTACATGGCTGTGGCTATGCTGGGCGGAGAAAGAGGCAGAGGTGCCCAGAATATTCACTTGTAATCATCCAGAGCCCCCTTCCTGCTGTCTGAATTGATTTCAAGGGCGGAACCAGAAGCTAAACCGCACCAGGGAGTGTGTAAGCACTAGAAGACTAAATGATAAGCTGACGGGAAGACCAGTTCACGGTACTTTACATCGATAGGACTACAAACTCTTACCTATTCTAGATTAGTGCTTTGAGTCCTGCTGAACAAGCAATACAAGGCACTTTGTAATCAGGTGATCTCTGTACAGGTAAGTTACTGTTTAAGATTTATGTACCATATTGAGTTAGAAGGCAGTCTTTTTTAAGACCTCTCCTGAGACCTTTTCTAAGAATTATTTAAGAATTTTCTATGGACTCCTCTGGAGAGCTCTCTGTAGGCCTTAGAGGAACTCCCCATAATTCTGTATGAAATACTCTAGAATATGAAATTAAAGCAGATATAGCTTTTCTCTTTAGTTTAGCTGCTCTATCAACATGACCTAATAGTACTAATATCACTATTAGGTAAAGTATGCAGCCTGTACGGTGTAAAACGCCGTCTAAGTAGCATCCGCCCGATGATAAATCGAATCTTCCATCTCTTCAAACGACAATCGCCCACTTCATAGGCAAGCCTGACATAATCCACAGTGAGCCGAACTGAGCAGCATTCACGTGTTTCCCTCCATATTATACTGTGCACAGTAACGCTGCTGCAACCGTATCTGGCAAGCGATGGGACTAACTATCATCGATCAACTGTATGAAGTAGTAGTTTGGTATCCTATTCAACTATCTCGAGACCGATAAACTTTTACACTAATAAGGATAGTAACTAAGCACAAGAGATAGACAGCTTGTCTACCAAATAGATCTATCACTCTGATGCCATTCCCCACATTCCTCTTTCAGTTCATCCAGCTATCAATCAATTTACCATGAAGCCTATACAATACACCAATAATCGCTTAATGTGCCTCAAGTATGTATTTCACAAATTAAAAGTCCAACCTGACTTCCAACTTAGCGGAACGTGGGTTTGTGCCGATATACTGAGTAGTAGAGGTAGATATCGGCCTTCTTTCTTCCCCTACTCAAGTTCTTTCACTCCACAATAACATAGCCACAACTCAATGCGACTGCCCGGGCAATCACCAGCTTCCTTAGTAACCTTTGTCGGAACTGAATATGATTTTGAGACCCTTTTCTCAATCATTGTTAATCATTCTCTAACAAAGCTGTGTCGCCCTTTACATACTATCCTCATTCAGTGAAACAAAGAAACTCTGAATGCTATAGACAATCCGATCTATCGAGCATATTCCCGTATTTTGCCTACGGAGGATCCCAGGAAGGCCAAATAATCCAGTGCCCTCTTGCGCTATAAGAATACCCACATCATCTTGTTCAGTTCAGGGCTCTAGACATTCTTTCGACGTGCTTGAAGGTCAACGCAAGTTGATGTTACTGGTAGTGTCTCAGCTCATAACCAGTGTGATAGGAGCAGCCAGAGGTCTATTTCCTTCCTTCCCTCCTGAGCCTCTTACAATTTGACACTATCTATCATAAACCTTTCTGTCGAGATGCCCTTATTTATCACTGATAATGAAGACGAATATGTCAGATTTGTGAACCAAGTAGCAAATGGTTCACAGCTGGACGAAGGTCAATTGGGCGACGAACTTCCTCCTCCGCCGACTTATGAGGAGGCTATCCGTGAGTGCATACCTACTGTCGAGGGGATCGTTTCCCTGTCTAACTTCTCGTCTTATGCCTAGGCTGCCCAGCACCACAAGCGCTTTCGACCAGGCACTTGTCTCAGATCCTGTTCAGGATTCTCCTTCGCAATGCCAAATTAGGCCTGGCCAGGATTCGCAGGGCACTCAGGGAGAGAACTCAGAGCTTGTATGCTTCGGAATGGTACGTGACATGAGATTCGTTTTCTTTTTTATCCTCTCTTTCTTCCTTCCTTCATTTCTCTTTCTCTTTTCGTCCGGCTTAACTAACATGATTTAGCTGAGAGATATCCGTGTCGAAATCAATCCCGCCCAGGACACGTATTCTTTAAGCTTTGATCGATCATTCGGATTACCCGACACGTTTGCTTCGCTAGCTTTTTCCATACAATGGAACCGAAGTGATTTTCTATCAAAACAGGGCATTTCTTTAGCGAAACTAAACCCCGAAACCCACCGTCAACTAAGCGGCATAAGAGTTGAAGAGGATCCGATTTGGCTGGGCGTGATGCCAATGGATGAACTCCAACAGAGTCTAGGAGTAGTGACGAAGATCTCTTCTTCTTCGTCTCCTTCCTCTTCCTCTTCCTCCTCCTCCTCCTCCTCCTCCGCCAATTGTTCGTCGTCAATGGGTACGTGTACCATGGACATACTCGTCATCGGTCCATTGGCTATCGAGGACGCTCTCGCAAGGGAACTTGGTCAGCACAGATTGTACTTAGATCATCCAGATCCAATGCCCAAGCAGTTCAAGTATTATAACCCCCAATGGTTCTACACAGAGGGGACACTGTTTTACGAGCCGCTGGTTACACCACCTCCACCGGAGACCGCTGATCGGAACGAGATGAATGGCTCTGACAATGAGAGCGAAGTCACGGGAGAAGACAAGGACGAAGGAAAACAAAGGCGAAGACGTGAGCGCAGACGTGAGCGACGACGAGAGCGACGACGAGAGCGACGACGAGAGCGACGACGAGAGCGACGACGAGAGCGACGAGAGCAAAGGCGAGAGCCAAGACGTCAAGGATGACAGCAGTAATATTTACTCAAGCGGTCTCGAAGGGAACCATCAAGTAGGAAGTAGTACTAGGATGTGGTTGAAGAATGAGGATGGGATTGTAACTCGTAATAATCTGGTGAGCCATTGTAACACTCATTTATAATGATATAGTATATGTTATCCATTTGTGTTTAGCAGTCGTAACGATCATTCCTGCGTCTGCAGCATGCTTTGTTTCCTGTATTTCTGCGAGATCTGAATATTCGACGACGTTCAGGGCCATTATATATTGCTTCAGACGGTAAATCATCTGCGTAGGCAGCCTCTTGCAGCTCAATTAACCCAGAGGATGCATATTAAGTTGATTTACAGCCGTGGTTGCACAACAAAACAAGCAATGTGAATGGGATCCTTTCCTTTACCATTCAATCCCGGGGAAAGAAAGGGAAAAAAAAAACTGCAACTCGCTGTAGCCTTTACTCTGAGCATTCGTGTCTGTCCCTAACGATTTACTGAGATGTAGTACTGCTCCATGGAAGATGGAGTTCACCAGGTGGTGAGCGCCTCATATGCGAAGCCGCCGCGAATTCGCTGTGCTAACACACGACACCAGACATGTAAGATATCATATGGCCTAGTGCGCTCGGATCATCTCATATTCACGATGTTGAAGCGGATTTCACCAGTGACGGTGAGGAAGATATCCTCAGCAAAGTTCACTGGCACAGCCCGTTGATTCTGGACGAAGATCAAGGCAGGTTCTCCTAGTCTTCAAAAAGAGAGTATGTTCTCATCCCCTAAGATCTCATGGATATCTTGGAATTTCTAAGCCTCAGCACTCTAATTTAATCCTCGACTTATAGTATCGACTAATGCTTCATGAGACTATTATCTACCCTTGGGAACTTCCTAGTGCCTCAGCATCTTTAGAGTTTAGAGGATTAACAACGGCATCTACAAGAACTCGGATACATGTGTTTGTACTATAGAATACAGAGAATTTAAGGATCTTATTGAAGCTATTATGGCTTTGTTGTCGCTCCACCATGCTCAGTAAACAAAGACGTGAAAATGGATGTATTCATTTAGTACCTACCCGGTGGTCGGTAAGTCCTGCCGCCATTCGTCTGTCTCTTTGAACTTGCCCTCTTCAATAACCTTGTGGATAGACATAGTCTACAATATACTGTTTTTGTCCAGAATTTAGGAAAATAGTGAACAGTTCAAATTAAATAGCCATGGCTGTAAATATGAATCAGCAAGCGACCTGACAGGTACTTTGTTGCTCCAAGTCACCAAAGCGGCATCACCCGTTGTACGCACGGAGGACCTTTTATACTGAGCAAATCTCAGTTATGTGACTTCTACTGCTGCAATGAGTCCTTATATGCGAATAATCACATACCCCGATAATCTACTAATCACAAGCGAGATAATCAACTCCTCTACAGAGTAGTAAATCTATACTTTCCCAAAACGGATGTCAACAAAACACAGCTCCCATGTCGTGCATGTCACACTGACGCCACTCCCACATTATTCTCCATCCACTCATCCCACTATCGATCAGATTATTTCTATCCACCAAATCAATTAATCAATCAATTAAGTAATTAATTAATCCACCATGAAGCCATACACAAACTACAACCCATCATCTCCCACGCACCACCCCCTCCCAAAATGAAAACCAAAGAAGACAAAGATCCCACCCCAGCCTCCACCTTCCTCCACAGCGAACTCTACCACACAGCCTCCCAACCGGGTCTCCGCTCCCTTCCACCCAGTCCCTCTCGCGACTTCCTCACCCTAACCTGGGGTCCAATAATCTACCTAACAACCTACACACCCGCCTCCAACAAATTTCTCTCCAGCTTTTTCCAATCCCTAAACGCCGAAATCCACGACGCCATCCGGCGCGTTCTGCCCGGGAACTCTTCCCAAATCCGACTGTTGGAATCCAGCTACGCGGCGAAGGTCTTCAGCGGGGAGAGGCTATATGGAGATAAAAGCGTGGAGGAGATAAGGCGGGTGTTTCACGATTGGAAGAGGGTGGATTTGGCGTTGCCGGCGGTGGAGTTGCCTGTGAGGTTGAGGGTTTGTTTGGTTGTTGATAAGGGTGTTTTGGAGAGGTTTGGGAGGCTGGTGGATGGGAAGGGAAATGGAGGAGAGTGTCCGGTTATTATGGTGGAGGAGAACTTTCCTGATATTAGACGGAGGGATTCGAATCCGGCCGATGAAGGGTTTCCGGGCTGGATGTGGGTGGCTTTGCAGGCTGTTGTAGAGGTGTTTGATGGGTTGAGGGGGGCAGGGGGGTTGAGGAAGTATCATCGTGAAGGGGAAGTGTATTTGGGGGGTGGGAGGTGGGGGGAATTGGGATAGCGAGGATCATTGGGGAATTGGGTGTGATATTTTATTGTATGATATAATGTGTATACTACTGGGTTCGTGGGTCAGGAGCATATTTGGCGTCAGTGGTGTACTTTGGTTCAAGAGACGAGGTTGGATCTTCATCATACGATTATGTTTGAGATAATACTTGCAATTTCGTGTATGCTGGCTTGTGTTACTCACAAAGAAATTCAAAGTAGGTCAGGAGAGTATCTTGTGTTGCTGCTTCCACTCCTGATTGATCCCTCGGTAATCATGCACTGTATAGTCTTCAAAAACTTCCCGCAACCAGCTTCTCTTCCTCCATCTGTTAATCCCCAAGTCCATCAATAGCATGTCCGAATACGGAATCGCATCGAATATCGTCTCTGGATACCAGCTCGCGAAACCACATGGATGCCGGTGTCTTCCATATCGACTTGTCAATGCTGTCTGATAATACACCTTCGATCGATCAATTGGGACCTGGTTGTTGAGATAAGCATATGTCCAGAGAGCCTGCACCTCAATTAAAAGGGCATTGCTTGTCCCATTGAGCATTCCTAAAAATGCGATGGACTGGTCGCCTTTGGCTGTCATTTCCGGAGACGCAATGCCACGATAAAGCCGGAATGGACTAAGCCTGGGCTTGTACAGCGTCTTCACAGCTGGTTGGTGACGCAAAGCTGGAAACCGATCAAGTATCTCTTCATCAGCGGCGCGGTCGAAACGATCCCAGGCTTTTCGGTCTCTGAAGGGATCCCTAGTGGGAATCCCGAGACTGGAAACCAGTCCCTCGGGCTCATAATTAATGCCTGGGGCTAGCTTCCATCCGGTTATTCTAATGAGAGCATCGGTTTTTATGACTGTACCATCAGTAAAGTTGACTTCGCCTTCTGAAAGATGCGATATATCCTTTCTGTTTACGCTCACTTGCCCTGATCGAACATAGTCATAGATATTCGTGGGGTAATTGAGAACTCCCAGACGACCGGTCCAAAACAAACTATGACCCAACGTTAGTCATAAGTCGTGAAATCTGGTTGTTAGGGATCCTGCCTTCCATCTGGTTCCAGATCCTTCAACGCAGCTTCTTTCCGGTAGCCATCGGCCTCAATGGCATCCCCATTTAGTTTATTCCAAAATAAATGCACTAGCCACCTGCCTAGCGCTGTTCCATGGAGCAGCCCCCGCACCCATCCAAATCCATCACAGTTTCCCCAGATGCAAGGGCTGAACCAGGTGATTATTCTAGTGGTTGTTAAGCCCTCCAACTTTAATCGCCAGGGTCCAAACCAAAGCCACGGCAATGCCATCCAGACGGCACCCCCTCCGGACTTGCGAATGATCCATTCCACACGTTTACCATGAGAGGCCATAAGATACACGGCATCATACCCATACTTTGAAGCCCCGATAACCGTCACCGACTTTACAGCTGGGTCATTTGCCAACAGAGCGCCCTTGGTTCCGAGCTGAGAGTGATTCATGATAGGTCTCCCAAAATTCTGCTGCCCCGGGATTGGGAATTCATTCGCAGTCGAGCACAGTCCGGGGCTCATGATGAGCTTGCTGCACTTGTAAAGCACCGAGCCGGTGTGAACCTCCCAGAACCCATCTTCTTTTCTAACTGTATGTACACGTGTGTTAAATCGAGTCCGTCGTCGAAGGTCAAAATGATCAATGAAGTCACTGAAATACTGCTTGAGAACATATCCAGGGATGGGAGCTTCCGGTTGGACATCATATTTTGTTGGATCAAGCGAGAAACTCGATAACTCGTAGGTTCCGTAGAGATTGTTGGTATGGAGGCATTCATAGCTATTTTCTGCCCATACGCCGCCCACAGCCGAGCGCTGTCAATGCAAATCAGTGGACAACTGCATAGACTGTTGGTGCGGGATAGAATACCGCTTCAAGCATTAATAGATCTGTTTCCGGCGACAGCTCAAGATATGTCTTTGCCGCTGCAAGGCCAGCAAGCCCTGAATATCGCGAGTAAGCATCCCTTTCAATACAGACAATGGCATGTAAAGAGGCACCATACCTGCTCCCACAATAATCACTTCGTGTTCCTCCTGAGGCTGCATTATCACCGTCAATTGCTGGAAATCTTATGTCTGGCTCTCTTGGGGTCACGAAATAGCAGTAGTCGTGCTTTCAGAAGCCTTCATTAAGCGCATAACTTGCACTCACTCTTCCAGATGATGGCAGCAAAAGTGAAATCCCCATCAAATCAATCCATCGTCTTCGAACTATGACGTAGTGCGCTGATTGGCCACTTTGAGAGCAATCACGTGGCGATAAGGATATCGATTCCAGTTGCAGCAAACCTTCAAATAAACCTTCAACATCCATCCCCAGCTTCCACTTCCACTTCACTCATGGCTTCCAGCTCGACCTGGAGATCCTCTCCATGGATCGCTTCGTCTCCCGGAAGAGGCCCAGGAGCCCTCCACCACCAACAACCACTGACGAAGACTCCACCGACCTGAAATTGGCCCTCTTGATGTCACTCTTCCCAACCATGACCCTGGATACGCTGATGGAAATCTTGGTTTCGAGCAATGGCTGCGTGGAAACAGCCTCATGCACTATTAAAGCTCAAACTCAAACCCAAATCCAATTTGGCTCTGCCTCTCCGTCCAAGAAACGCGCAAAAACCGTCCCAGGAACCCCAGCCATCCAAACATGCTTACCATCAACTTCCCCGACCACCATCACCAGACCTCTCACAAAGAAAGGCCAAACCCTCCACCTCTATTCCCCTTCCTCCATCGCCACTCACACTCCCTGCACCCTAATCCACAACTTCCTCCCCCCATCACTCGCAAATGACCTCCTCACCGAACTCCTGTCCGAATCCCCACACTTCACCAGACCCCACTTCCAACTGTTCGACCGAACAGTCCAAAGCCCCCATTCAGCCAGCACTTACGTCTCCACGCCAGAAGACCACCACTCCCACACCTCGGAATATACTTACGGCGGCACCTACCGCTCCAACGTCCGGCAAATCACCCCGCACATGCGCACCGTCGCCGCCAAAGTCCAACACACCGTAAACGAACAGATCAAAGCCCGGGGCCCCAAACTGCCCTTCCAGTCACCACTGGAATGGACCCCCAACGCCGCATTCGTGAACTGCTACGCTGGTCCCACTGAAAGCGTAGGCTGGCACTCCGATGAACTGACGTATCTCGGCCCGAGACCCGTCATCGGGAGCTTGAGTCTAGGCGTGGAGAGGGAGTTTCGCGTCAGGAAGATTCTCCCTGTTGACACCGACAATGAGGACGAAAACAATGGTGATGATGGAGGCCAAATCTCTATCCACCTCCCCCACAACTCCCTCCTCATCATGCATGCAGAGATGCAAGAAGAATGGAAACATGCCATTGTCCCTGCTAGGACTGTTATTCCGCATCCTGTCTCCGGTACGGCGAGGATAAATATCACCTATCGGTGGTATCGCGAGTCGTTGCATCCGCGGTATACGCCCCGTTGTCGGTGCGGGGAGCATACGGTTTTGAGGTGTGTGCAAAGGAAGAGGGGAAATCGGGGGAGGTATATGTGGATGTGCTATGCTGGGTTTGCGCCGGGGAAGAAGGGGTGTGGGTTTTTTCAGTGGGCGGAGTTTGATGATGATGGGGAGCCGGTGTGGGGTCATCGTGAGAAAGGTAGTAGTGGTGATGAGGGTGCGCCGAGGTTGAGGAATTTTGTGGAGGATGGAGTATGGAATGGGGATGAGGGTGAGGTTAAGGGTGAAGTTGTATAGATGGATTATGAACTTGTGATACCCTTTTATGCCATTATAGCGTCTTATATGAACTTAAATGTATAGGTTGAATGGAAGTATTGGAAGTAAGTCATATAATCCTGCCTCGATCTAAGAGACCGGAAATGAAGTGATAGCATAAAGAGCACATTGAGTCCCCGCTTGTGAAACAGCAAACTGCTAATATGAGACTAAACGCCATAACTCCTGTACTGCCCTTACAGGCGGAATACATACACCCTAAGCAATGTAGCCTGCCTCTGACTTATCACATATCTAGTGGCAGCCACATGTAAAACGCCAATCCTCTTGTATAGTCCTAGCATATGAAATCCTCCTCGTGCCATCGACCAGGTTGCGCCATCGTGAGCCCAAACCACACCGTGTGTAGATGTTTCAAAACGGGATCAGTCGAAGCTTTCCAACAGTTTGCATCGGTGTCATCTCAGCCAAATGTCTCTGTCGAGCAACGCTTCACGTAAGCAGGCCATTCATGACTGAATAGAATAATTGTCCCACGTCCACAATCATCCAGATACGATGCTCCAAAAGGCTACCCGTTACATCGAGCATACCCTCAAAATCTCTCCACGAGATCCAGAACCAAGCCGTCGATCTTCATATCACTTGACCAACACCACGACAGTCAATATCCAGAACCACCACCCAACCAACCACCTTCGATCATAGAATTCGACCTCCAAACAGAAGTCAATCAATTTTCCTCCTGTCTGCGCAGCGGCTCCTGGTAAGCAGGCGGATTCCGACCCCGTTCGAGATCCGGCTGGGAGTTTCGTTTCCCCTTCTGACGGTTCTGCGGCTTGATCCAGAACACCCAAGTGACTGATTTGCGGGAGCTCCAGAATTCCGAGCACAGGAGGGCGATGGCGAGGATGCTGCAGATGACGACAATGGGGACGAGGACTAAGAGGATGACGGTGATGGATGATTTGTATTGCGAATACCAGCTAGACATATTGGATTATGGTATAATATGATCTATTGTGGAAGGTATGGATTGGTGATTGAAGGAGTAGGAGGTGGTAAGATGCTGTTAGGATGGGGATAGAGGTAGTGGGATTGGGACGGAGTATAGTAGATGAAATAAATGGATGGATGGGACACCGCCACGAATGTGACGTACTAGGCAGGCACGATGGATGGTCGGGTCATGATGACAGCCTCAATAAATGACTTTTTGATTAGGTATGAGATCGGGTCAGATCAACTGAGCCAGATCTGTTCTATTAAGGGTATATTGGTTTACTCGCGCACCTCCTCCGTGCGCGGAATCATCATCTCTTTGACCGACGTCAGGGTGGTTTCGTCGAGGCGACTGAATCGAATCTGTGAACTTATTAGCACCTGATCAGTATCAAACTTTGAAGAGCAGTAATTACCATCTCCTCGACTCCTCCCCGCGTCGCATTCCCATACAACATCGCATCCGAACTACTAGCCTCAATCTCGTTCTGCACCCGTCTGGCCCAGATCCCATCCCAATGCCAGTCTCCCGGGGACCTCGCCTGCGGGCTCCCCTTCTTCGATGCAGAAGCAGTACTTCCCTTCCGATGAGCCTTCCACGCATGCCACGCACTCGGGTTTCCGGCCGCTTCCAGCGGTAAAGAATCGAGGACCGTCTCATCATCGAACGTAGACCGAATGTAATCCAGCAGCTCTGATACAGGCACAGTCTTTCTAGGCTCAACCGATTTCTCCGCCGGCGACGGGGCGACGGCCTCGCCTTCATCCTCGTTCACATTCTCGTCCTCTTCTTTTGGCTGATCCTCTGTTGGTTCAGCGGCGGTGTCGTTATCCCCAGACACGCTTTCCCTGCAAAGGGTATTGGATACCCCTTCGCTAGTAGCACTTGAATTACGCACACTAGCGGTCTCTCTGGGTGGAGTGGCAGATTGTAATCCAGCTCGCTTCGCCCTGCCGAACCAGTGCGGGAATCCGTGCCGCAGACTGAACCCGCCAGGGGGTAGCCGCTCTTCATCTGTTGCGCTGACAGGATCTTCGCTCGAGGCACCGGTGCTGAATGTGTATGTGGTGAGGGGCACGATCAAGGGATGGAAGACGTCAGTGGCGAAGTTCACTAGAGGAGGCATGTCGGGATAGGACGTGGGGAAGCGGATCTGGAAGCGGAGGACGGCGGAGGCATAGGGGCCTATACAGACAAAGTTGTCAGATCGCAATCATCATAAGATGTTAAGAGGAATTGAATACATACCAGAGCGAACAAAGATGACTCCCAACCAAAGCGTTGGATCGCCCGGGCTGAGGCTCATATAAGTTCCCGGAGGAGCGGCATGTTGCAAGCTTGCGCTGCAGGGACAGTCAACACCACGGTTTGGTCAATCGAGTGGTATTAAGCAATACTCACAATTCTAGGAGAAGCTGCTGTTTCCGAAGCGCAGGGACGTTGGGCAAGCGGGTTGTCGACATGGTGTTTGGAATTGGTGGTCGGAAATGCTCAGGGGTGCGGCGAGCGAAGACGAAGAGTCGGAGGTGCTTATGTCCGCTATCTCCGGCGGTTATCTGGGTTTCTATGGCAGCATCTCCACCTCACATGGGAAAAGTATACAATTGCGCATGAGACAGACAGTCATGTTGGAAATATGCCACTCACTGTGCAATAGTCATGTCACATTATAACAGTCTATCTCTATGTTTAAAATACACATACAGCACATCCAATCTAGTTTGCTCAGATTGTACCTCATCCCCGCGAAGCCTGCACAAAAGCCTTCCCAAGCTCAACATGCGACCGGGTGACTCCCATGATAGTCATGCCCTCCGCAAATCCCTCGTAAATGCCACCTGCAATGCTTGTCACCCACCAGGCTGCAAGGTCCATCAAATTTGCGCTCACTCTTCCTTCGTTATAATTCAGAACTGCAGCCCCTATAACCATACCTCTTTTACCAAAGTTATCAGCCGCAACCAGAACCTTTGTCACGGCACGTTCCGTAATCCGATGGGATCGCTCATATTGGTACAGATGACACACGAGGATTTTGACGTATGGCATGAGGAATTGCAGCATTATGAAGAAGTAGACGATAGTGGACGACAGCAGTCGATGAAGGTAAGATCGCTCGGGTAGAGAATTTTCCTCTGCAAGCAGACTGTGAAGCCCTGCCGCGGATGGATCAGTCACGGAAGGCGCAGCCAAGGATCCCTTGACTCCAGCAGGAAGGTTATCCCGAATTATCATAGTTTCTTGGCTGCTCATGTCGTCGGGGAGGCCATCGAGGAGGTAGCCTAGGGCATCGACGTACAACATCCGAGCCAAGCGACTGTCGCACTGCCGCTGCTGCGCTTCATGACAGGCATTTTGTAGGAGATTGAGTGCTGGGATATTGTCAGCCAGACTAGTACTAGGAATCTCTTCTGTCCTAAAATTTAACGAAGACAAAAACAGGCGGCAAGACGCACCAGGCGCTATCCGATTCCATCGCAGTCCGGATTCCGCTTCGTATTTCGGAGCCACTGGACTAAAGACATCGCTAGATCTACTGCTTCGAATACTAGAGATATCGCTGAGTTCTTGTGACTTCTCGGCGACAGACGAGAAGCATGATTCCAGTCCATTGCTAGCACTGCTTGCGGTACTGGGGCGCTGAAAGGTGGGCCCAGACGAAAGATCAGGCAGTGATGCCACATACTCCAGCCCTCCTGGCTCGGAAGATTGTCGCATTGAGACCATCGAGTCACCTCCGGCCTCCCCAGCTGTATTTTCTTTGGCGCTGGCGCTATCGCTGGCCTCCAACCTCACGGGTCGATGCGTTGATGGGTATAAACTAGTGATCCGCCGTCGGAGAGAGGCCGGGATAACAGGAGAAAAGACCGTGAGAACGTGACGGTAGACCATCGTATCGCTTAGTGCTGTCAAATCGTCGATCCCATCCATCTTTCGAAGGTAGGAAGCTATACAAGTACGAATATAAACAACGATGAGGGGTGAACCATGAGACAGTGCTGCTGGCAGCGTATGTCTGACGCAGAGAACGGCAACAGCGCCCACGAACGACCAGATAGACTTCCTGGTGTTTCAGAAAGTTAGAGAATGTCCAACCGTCGGCCGAAGCACATAGCGGGATGAAACATAAGCAGAGACCTGCTTGAGCGCATGGCGTGAGAGAAAAAGTTCCGGCGCAAACTTCAGCCAGCGGCTTTCACATGTCAAACGGTCCGCCGTTTGTTGGCCCCTCCGATAAGGCACCCATTCTAGGCCTGTGACTCGGGCGGTTCCATGATTAAGTGGCGTGGACGAGCCAGCCAATCGGATCATTCGTGTTGTTCTACGCCCTGTGACAGAACTACTAAATATACTACGCCTTTCGGGTGTACGCAAGGAGCATTCGAGTAGAGTCCAAAGATGGGTATATTAACTATAGCTGTCTCCTGTACATGCTCGCTTTCCCGTCCCATAAAATGAGTGTCTCCAGTTGAAGAAGGGCGAGAAAGTTCTCCAAACAAAGCCATCTCTCCACATAAACAAATCGGAGAACAAAATACTTTTGACCTCATGACCCAATCAGTCATAGACTGTCCACACCTGCCGCATATATACAACCCCGACTTCCTCATCAATCAACAATCTATTTGCTCTCAGCCCTCATGCATGCCTGGATATCCCAGATCCGTCGTTGGTGCAAGCTCCTCGTTGGGACCCGTATCAGACATAAAGACCTCGGAGCTCCGCATACCAGGAATAGCTATTGGGGCCGAGACAGGGGCAGAGAAAGGCAGAGACTTTCCAGTTGGGTCTGCTTGATGTTGTCCAGCTTCGCCCTCACGCCTATTACTCTCTTCAAAACACAATCCCTGCATATCGTCCAACGGCAACTCATCATACCGTTCATTCAGTTGTTGTAAGAACTCGGGATCGAACCCCATTTGCACGAATTGGTCAACAGATCCGCTCAGAGGCGTGTTGAGGGACGCCATGCCAGCAGACAGGCTACTCCCCACGTCAGCCGACAACCTGGAATAGGGCCGAGACGGGAGAAAGCCAGAACTTTCGGCATAGCTGCCAGTGGAGCTCCCAGGAGCACTGGCGGCAAAGGAAGACCGACCGTGCCCCATAAAGGCGGGGCTCTGGAGCCCAGAGTTTGGGGTCACGGGACTGAATGTGCCCTGTCGGGGGTAGAGAGGGCTGGATAGCATGCTGGTTTCGGCTGGGGGCTGTTTGAGGCCGTCAGCAGCAGCAAATGGCGGTCGCATACCCAAGTCAGAAAGTTGAATGTGCTCTGACCCTGGGAGAACTTCGAGACCTGCGTCTCGCTTCAGAAGACTAAGCCAAGTTGAATTATCGGCGCACGTTTGATTCCACGGGTCGTCGCTTCCATATATGATTCGCCGGCCTTCGTCCTGTATCATACGATCCGTTGGAATGATGCCGATGGCCCTCTGGCTGTGAATATATGCGGTGAGTTCACGCTGCAGGCGCCTATAACAATTCACATCTTCTGAATGGAGAAGACCAGCTGTTTGCGCAGCATTGGGTGGCTTGAAAGGATTCAGAGTCTTCTGCTCGCCTCCAATGAGATACGGTGGCATTGCATTCTCGACCAGACCCTGGATGAAGGGTTCAAACCCCCAATCGCCCTGCCACTGCGCCATGGTACTGCCATTCTTGAAATGGGAAGCCAAATGGTCAACCCGGTCTTTCCAAGTTGTTAGACTCAACCCGCAGAAGCCACATCGAGATTTGAATTCTGTCAGAGTGCTCCTCCAGGCGTTCATGGCTGAGTCAAACTTGACGTTGTGCATCAATCTCAAGTGCTGGTTGAGATGATCCTTCCGGTAAAAAGATCGCTCTGCGGGTGTCTTCTCTTGGCAGGTACTGTAGTTGTGTGATTCTAAATGATCGTTGTTGGGATCAACAGCCATGCAGAATACACAACGGTTGGCGCCATCTATGAAGGCCACGCCCCCCAATGGCGAGCAAGTCCACTTTTCAAGAGCCAAGTGTAGTGACTTCTCGTGGCGTTGCCAGTCATACTTTGTTTGGAAACAGTCGGTGCAGAAAGTGCACTGGTATATGCGAGCATTGCGTGCCTTTTGTTGGTTGAAGGTGTTGACGGGAAGTGAGGGCTTGCGCCGGCGACGGCGTTCCTTCCGCTCCATAGAGCCGAAGGAGCCGAGAGAGGATCGGTGGGAGAAAGCAGAGGCAAAGGAAAGGTCTGATATAGAGGAACGAGTGGCTGATCGACTTGTTTCCTGACTACTGACCGAGGGGGCATGGAACAAATTGGAGTTGGCATGGCTTGAGTCATTGCTAGACCCAGTCTTCCGGGAAAGGGAACGCACGTGACCTGGTCTGGATGCGCGCTGTCGGTCATGATTCAGGTCGGTCGTGACCAGGGCTCGCAGAATATCAGATGTGGCAGCGGGTTCGTTTTCAGGGGGCGAGTGTTTCCAACGCTCCATGGGTGTCATGTAAGTGACGTCCACGCCTTTTTGTCCGGGAATGTTGATTGCGCCCGTCGCCGACGAGTTGCGCGGCCCGGGAGGAACTTTACCACGTCTCCGAGCATTAGCAAGCCAGTTGGAGATTTGCATCCTCTTCAGACCTGTGCGTTGCTGTAACTCGTCTTTTTCCTGCTCAGTTGGATAGGGGTGCTCCCAATGTTCCTGAAGCCATGCTTTGAGGATGCGGACCGCTTCCCGCGCCAGTCGTGAATTGCTTTTTCTCGCTCGGCCATCATCTTCAGCGATGAAGGACAACGATTTGAGCGCCTTCTTTCCGGTCAAACCACCGGTATGAATGTAGGTATTCTCGGAAATCGGATGTAAGGTGTCCAAGAACTTGCCAGGTGCTGTAGCGTGGGTGAAGCTGCATTCACGGTAAAGCGAAATGCAGCAAGTACAGCCATTCTGACGCATCACTCCACTCTTCGCGACAAAACAATCCAGATTCATGTGCCTGCAAAAGTCGCATGGCTCCTCGGCGCGACTCATGGGATAGACGCCGTTGTCCAATTTACCGGTATCTTGCTCCGGTAGGTCGTTGGGAAATTCTAGGCTCTGTTCCTGAAATATGGCGTTGTAGTTTTCAGCGGCCTCATTCTCGTCGAACTCGAGATTGTCCGAGGCAACATCATCTTCGCGCACGTTGGAACCATATGAGGCTTCATCGAAATCGAAGTACTCCATTCTTGTCTGGAATACCTGATAGTGCTCGAATCTATGATGAACGGGGGTTTCCAATTTATGGTTACAGGATGATACACGGAAGTAATCTCATCCAAGGTTGGGACACAAGGAACAGAGTGAGTTATGGCAAAGAGATGGAGGACCAAGACTTAGGATAGGCAAGAGGGCAGCGGAGGAAGCCAGGATCCAAGGTAGACTATGTTTTTCGTCTGGGGTACCAAAAGCATACCGGAACGGAGAACCCTGCCGGCACTGATGCTAGCAGGTTCCATTCGTCCAGTAGGAATATCTATCGTGGACCTAGCCTTTGGGAGGGGGCAACTGCTCAACTGCTAGCACTAGCAGCTTTCCAAGGGTGAGACTCATGCATAGCCATCGTGTTCGGGTCCAGTCGGCTTGGCCGATGATTGACCTAGTCCATGAACAACGGCAGGAGGAAGGCAGCGTAGTCGTAAGAACTGAAGGGGACGAGGGAGAAAACTGGATCACTGCGCGCCTGCACGCCCTTCCATTGACAACGCTTGCCTTATTCCGGTTACGCCCAGTCAGTGCGGGGGGTCCATTGGGCGTGCCGCTTAACCCAATCAGGCAAAATAGTATGAATCATCGCCGCGCCGACGATATCGGACCACTGCCCCACCTCCTTCACCATGGATCACCCGATGGAGGATGGATGAGAAGAATTAAATAACGGTGAGCAGATACTAAAATGATGTGTTTGATGTGTTTAGTATACAAGTTGAACCAATGCTAACAGCAAGACAATATGATATCATTGGTAGTGTGGATCAATATAGCCGATTGATGAAGAAGATAGATGGCCAGTTAACCTCCGTCACCGGCACCTCAACTATGCTCATCTTCAAGAATTGCAATGCAAGAAGATGATATGCGCGTTCGGATGACAACAGTTAATTCGAATTCTATCGAACCGATAAGCCATTACATATATCAATTACCCGGGGGTCTCGGCGCAAGAACTGCGGTCAGGCCTTGAACCCCGGCTAGCCTCCAGGCAACATCCCGAAGGTTTAGCTGCCGGCTATAAAGTCTACTATCTGCACATGTGGTGGGGATGATTCTGGAATGGTGGGGACAAGAGATATAGATAAGTAGTTCTTAGATTGTGATAAGCTGTAAGGCTAAATCGGTATGGGCCAAGCATACCTGTCCGGTAGTCGATATAATATGACGCTACCAGCCCGTTCTTTCACGACTTTCCGATGCTGAATAGTTAACTCAAGTCAAAAGAGGTCCGCGGAAATACGGCATGCATGCAACTTAGCAACATGCACATGCAATGCAACCAGGTGGCCGCTTATCCATCCACAGTGACACACACTTCGCTCTGCAATCAACCAGCGGGATGGATGTGAGAACTTCTCAGCTCCGAGCAGTGGTTCTATGTTTCGAGGATTTACAGGACAGCATGCAGCCAAGGACTTCAAGGAGTACAAATGGACCGAAAAGAGGTGAAAAAAAGACAAAAAATATATAGATAGATATATATTTGCGCAGTAATTGGTGTTGGCACATGGAGAGGCACAAAGGGTAAGCAAAAGCAAAAAAGGAAATTTGAGCTCCGATAGGGGGAATCGAACCCCCGGCTGCCGTGTGAGAGACGGCGATGTTAGCCACTACACCATATCGGATCTTGTTGAAGAACTGGACTAGCTTTTGCTAAATGAGGCTAGCACTTAGCGGATGCTGCTAGTCGAATATTTTAAATCACGAAGAAATAGTACCTTGTACCCGACATACATTTGACCCAGTGGTTCCAGGTTTGCTTTCGATCTTTTTAGCTATTTTCTGATCTGTACGGTCATCCGAAGGGAATTTTTCTGGAATTGGCACTCATCAATCTGCCCCCCGGGGATCGACATTGAACGTTACTACTATGTGTGCATTGTGAACGGTATATATTCCCGCGATCTGTGATTGTTGCAACTCGGGAAAGGCCCGTTCATATAGTATCCAAAATATTGACGGTCGCCGACAATAGCATCCAAGGCGATACCATGCGATTCCGGTACTCAAAATGCCTAAGATTTCATCACTGCTAATACGAGAGGTCCCGAATCCAAGCCCACCCACCTCATGGTGTTCAATGGCGGGGTAACGGCGCCACCCTGCAACATACTATGGATGGTTCCTTCAATAGCGAACCGCCAGCGGCCATATCAAGCAATCATATTCGAGAACCAAGACAAATTTAGCTTGCGGAAGCATATTACAATGGGTCCCGAGTTTGGCGTGGTCTCAAAATTCGGGAAGCCGCTGGATTGCTCCGTTACCCCGGATAATGAGTTGAAGAGGCCAGGACGACAACACATACCGTGATGTGTAACGCAGACAACAAATGAAGGCAGCTCACTAGAATGCTAATAGCAGTTATGTAGAAGTTTTAGCTTCTCTTACGAATAGCTCTTAAGTCCTCGTTGTGACGAGACCATCCATACCTGGCTTATCAGTGGACCCTATACTGACCCCGCACATCTCCAATTCTCCAACGATTGTCGATCCCACATCATACCTCTTATCATCCAGTCCCTCAAATCGGGTACCAGTGCTTGGATGAGTACACAAGCCGAGAACAGCTTGGGCTGCACCTTTAAGTTAGGAGGGTCCCGCCCAAAGGCAAACCGAGTCCCTGTCCTTCCACCAGCTACTCACAATGGAGTCCCTGAAGACATTGCTCGTCGCCAACCGCGGCGAAATCGCCGTCAGAATTCTGAAAACAGCAAAGTACGAGTAAATACCATCACATTACCAGAAATCAAGCGTCTAATATCCCACAGGAAGTTGAACCTCCGGACCGTGGTGGTCTATACTGAACCGGATGCTGCTTCTACCCATGTACACCTGGCAGATGAGGCCGTCCTTCTGCAAGGTGCACCATCAAAGGCCTACATTGATGGGTGAGCAGTGTCCAAATGGTCCAAACCCGAACAAAAGCTAATAAACACGATTTGACTCTCTTCTCCAGAGAACAAATAATCGATATCGCGAAGAAATACAAAGCAGACGCTATCATACCAGGATACGGATTCCTATCTGAGAATGCGGACTTTGCAAGAGCTGCCTCTAGCGCAGGGTTAGCCTTCGTCGGCCCTTCGCCGGAGAGTATCGAAGCTTTTGGTCTCAAACATACCGCACGAGATCTTGCTACAAAAGCCGGTGTTCCTATAGTGCCTGGCTCGAAGGGATTGGTGAAAAGCGAAGAAGAAGCTGTCGCAACGGCGAAAGAACTCGGTTTTCCGGTATAATAACCCAGCCTTATTCCGCAGCCAGACAATGGAGCTGACGTCCGCTATAGGTCATGCTGAAGGCCACAGCTGGAGGAGGTGGGATGGGTTTACTCACATGCAACACAGAGAAAGAAGTCCGTGATGCTTTCGCTACCGTCAAATCGAGGGGCGGAGCCCTGTTCAAAAATGACGGTGTTTTCATCGAACGCTACTATCCGTCGAGTCATCATATTGAAGTACAAGTGTTCGGAAACGGAGACGGCAAAGCCATATACTTCGGTGAACGTGAATGCTCCATCCAGAGGAGACATCAAAAGGTCATTGAAGAATGCCCAAGTCCGTTCGTTACAAGAAATCCCGGTTTACGAGAAAGATTAGGTGACGCGGCTGTCCGCCTTGCGGAGTCAATCGGGTATGGATCGGCTGGGACGATCGAATACCTTGTGGACGACGAGACTGGCGCATTTTTCTTCCTTGAAATGAATACACGCCTGCAGGTCGAGCATGGCATAACAGAGCTATGCTACGACATCGACCTGGTGGACTTGATGTTGAAACAGGCCGATGCCCAGCTTTTAGGAAAAAAAGGTCTTGACGCAGCGTACCTGGCCAGCCTTGCAGTGAGCGCTCCTTTAGGTGCCGCCATTGAAGCTAGAGTCTACGCCGAAAATCCGGCCAAAGATTTTGCTCCTTGTCCTGGTACACTGCAGACGGTAGAATGGAAGGAACTGCCGGGTTCTAGAATTGACACATGGGTTTATAGGGGTGTTAAGGTCTCGGCAAATTACGGTAGGCTGCCAGAGCTGTACTTTTATAGGGAAGTACTAACGCAAAATTCTCAGATCCGCTGCTTGCGAAGGTTATGTATCACTCCCAAAGCAGACAGCAAACTATTGATGGATTGAAGACAATATTGACAGAGTCACGTATCTGCGGCCCTCCAACAAACTTGGAGTTCCTGGCTGATGTTCTGGCGGACGACACTTTCGTCTCTGGAAGAACATTGACTCGCTTTCTCGATGACTTCAAATACCAACTGTCCGCCATTGATGTTATTTCTGGAGGTGCATATACGCTTATTGAAGATTGGCCTGGCCGTCCAACCCTGGGAAGAGGCTTTTGCCATTCGGGGCCTATGGATCCCATGGCCTTCCGCATTGCGAATGCACTCGTTGGAAATCCGATAGGTCTGGAAGCATTGGAAATAACCCTGAGTGGACCGGAATTACGATTCCTGGGTCCAGCCCTGATTTCGTTATGTGGTGCTCCAATCGAAGCTAAGCTTGACGATGTACCTCTCCCGATGTGGTCGAGGGTAAAGGTCTCAGCTGGCCAGCGTCTAAAGATTGGGAAAACAACGGGTAACGGCTGTAGAGCCTATCTGGGTGTCTTTGGGGGGTTCTTAAATGTTGCAGAGTGGTTTGGATCCAAGTCGACCACCCCAGGTGTCGGTGTAGGAGGCTATCAAGGCAGACAACTTGCCTCTGGTGATCTTCTCTCGATCACTACCCAAGTGCCAGGAGTCAGCGGCGACCTCCGCTTGCCGCAGCATCTCATTCCTCAGTATCCTGATCACTGGGAGTTTATGGCTATGCCAGGACCGTATGATGAGGGTTATCTCGTTCCCGATAGCATTGATATGCTCTACAGCACAAGCTTTAGAGTGTCGCACAACGCCGCTAGGGGAGGTATCCGTCTTCTAGGCCCTAAGCCTACTTGGGCTCGCACAGATGGTGGTGAAGGTGGGGCGCATCCTTCTAATTTGATTGAGTACGGCTATGCGATAGGATCTCTCAATTGGACGGGTGATGACCCGGTCATATTTCCCGTGGATGCGCCTGACCTGGGAGGATTCGTCAGTAGCCATACAATTTGCAAAGCCGATCTATGGAAGCTGGGGCAAGTGAAAGCAGGTGATACTCTGAAATACCGCGCTACGTCTCTGGAGGATGCTCTGTCCGCTCGCAGAGAGGTAGAGCGGTTCATTAATGAGATTGCTCAAGGTTGCCAGAAGGGTGATCTCAGCAGCATATCGCCCATCAAGGGGGACCTAGCTTCAGAATTGACGGCAGAGAAACGTGGACATGGTGTAATACATCAGATCCAGGAGAGTGGGGGCCAACCTCTTGTTTCATATCGTCAAGTAAGCCAGCAATTCTTTCAGTCGCTCATATTCGTTCAGCTAACAACGTAGCCAGGCCGGCGACGACTATCTGCTGGTTGACTACGGCACTGGGTCTTTTGATCTGAACCATCGCTGTAGAGCCACTGCCTTGAAAAGAGCATTGGCTGAAGGGACTGGCGGTATTACCTTCGCGAACGGACTAATTTCAATGATGGGATGTGGAAACAGTAGGCTTTTCCTCACATCAATTCATCCAAGTCTCAGTACTTACTCTATTTAGCTTTGATGATCTATTATGACGGACTAAAGATCCCACAAAAGAAGCTCCTAACCTATCTCTGCAATATCGAGACAAAACTCGGCGACCTCAGCCAAGCGAAATTCCCCAGCCGGCTGTTCAAGCTCCCTCTCTCTTTCGAGAGTCAAAGACAGAAAGACGCAATCACGCGTTACATAGAGACGCAGCGTCCCTACGCTTCCTACTTGCCCGACAACATAGACTTCGTAGCGAAGAACAATGCCTTCAGCAGAGAAGAGTTCGAACGGATCTACCTAACCGCCTCCTTGATGGTCATAGCAGTTGGCTTCTTCACTGCTCTCCCGCTCTCCCTCCCAGTCGACCCACGCTACCGGATGAACTGTCCAAAGATGAATCCCAGCAGAGTCTACACACCCGCCGGCTCAGTCTCCTGGGGCGGTAGTTGCATGGCGTAAGCATCACACTATCCACGCGTACAACAAACACACATACTAACAGAAAGCAGACTATACAACGTAGACTCACCCGGCGGATACCAAATGACCGGCATGACCATCCCGGGAGTCGACATCCTCGGCTCCAAGAAAGGCTACGAAGCCAACAGACCGTGGCTGTTTGAAGACTTCGACCAAATCACCTTCTACCCCGTCTCTGAAGAAGAGTACGAGAAGCAACTCGCTCTCTTCAATAGCGGGAGATACGAGTACCAGTGGGAAGAGGTTGTCTTCGACATGGCAGAACACAATAAGCTTCTCCGTGACACCGCGGACGAAGTCGCAGCTATTCGGAGCAAGCAGCGACAAGCGCAAGCTGAGATGGACAAACTCGAGACAGAACTGCTGGAGCGGTGGACAAAGGAGAAAGCGGAACGGGGTATCCCGATGGATACGATTGAGAGTCTATTGAAGGGTATGTCTACCTCCTTTATACTGTCGTTATTCCGACACACAACAGACAAAACTGACCACCACTCTCTTTCGTCTAGACCCCGAGATCACCCCCATCGAAGCACCATTGAACGCCAATGTCTGGAAAGTAGAAGTCAAAGAAGGCGATAAGCTTGATCATGATCAGCTGGTGGTGATTCTGGAGGCTATGAAGCTGGAAATTGCCGTGCGCACGGAGTCCCCCGCTGCTGGGTCTACCGTGGAGAAGGTCTTGGTTCAACCGGGTGACTCGATAGAGGCAGGGAAGCCTTTGGTGTTGGCGAGGAGGGCGCAGAACTGATCCACTCACTCGAGCAGAGACTGCTGTCATAGTATGCATTCATGGCTTTTAAAGTACCTTTTTGGCTACAATCACATGATGTCAGCTTCAAAGCAATGCAAGCTTCTGTGAACGGTAGACAATCGACACTTACAGTACAGTATGGTAGATACACATGTTACTACACCCAAGCACGCAATCACCCAAAAGGGCAATCGCTTTCGAAAACAGAACACATTTGAGTATGTCCCTGACCGCTTCACAACCGAGCTCAGTCGCCCAGTATACAACCAAAACCTATCATACAACTTATGCCACCAATGCTATAATCCATCTGTCACCCATTCCACCAGAAACTAACACCAATCCCACCCTTGATACTCCGCACGTAATGCCACCACCCAATGGGGATATACAACATATCCCCCGGCTTAAGCACCGTCTCGACGTACTCCGCATCCATGAACCCAGGCCACAGCTCCTCCCAATGGTCCGCCTCAGCAGGGGACATCTCAATAGCAGCGACGTCAACCTGCGAGGTATTGGACATGTCTACAAGTTCGGGTTCTTGTCGGTAGTGTTGGTGGTGAGTGTACTGGAGGGGGTCTTCCCCGCCCTCGGGTCTTCGTCTAACGACGGGTTCTTTCCCCTTCGGGTGGATCTTCGAAAGTGGTGTGTGGGGTGAATATAGTCGGAAGTATTTCTCGCCTACTACTTGCACGTAGATGTTATGGTATGTGTCGAAGTGGAGTGGGGATATCGTCCATGAGGGACCCATCCAGATGTTGAGGTGCGGGCCGTCGAAGTCGGATTCGTGCCAGGATGTCGAGGAGGAGGAGTCAGAGTCGTCGCCGTATTTGGGTTCCTCTTCCTGCTCCTGGACTGGAATGACTTCTTCTCCCAGTTTCCGTCTCCGCTCCTCTTCCTCTCTCTGCAGTCTGATGTAGGCTGGGGTGCCAGGTTCGGCCTTGGGTGCATCGATGTACATATAGTCCGGGTGCATAATATCCTTATATAAGGTCGGTATGTGGAGAAACAGATCATGCTGCGCCAAATACCCCGTTGGACCAGCATCATCGCTGTGTCTATCCCGATTGAGATACTTCTCCACAAAGTCATTGAAGGACATTAACCGCTGCCCCCAATCCTCATCTGTATACGACCTCCCAATCTCCACGGGAACAAGTCTCCGTCCGTCAAAGGTGCGATGCATCCAGAACTCCCGGGATGCCCACGACCCTGTCGATATAGCCGGCCAATCAGCCACGGCATCCGTTATGACAAGCGGTGTTCTCTTCTGGCGCGCATGATTACGGAAACTCGGCGACGTGGGCGACGTACCCCACTGCGGTAGTTTGGATACTCGTGGTATAGGGAAGCGAATCTCAGGCGTCGGCGCAGTATCGTCAGAGAAGAGCGGAGTAGCAAGTTCGTCGGGATCCAATTCATCACGAAATTCATATTCAATTCGGTCGTTCCACCTAGTCGTTGGACACGAACCCTGCAACGCATAAATCAAACTTAAGACCCACTTCTCCCTCTGTGGTGCTCCTGTCATTATCAATGCCTTGTCGAGCATGTGTATTGTAGGCGTGAGCCATTCTGCATCCGGGTCGATGTCAATCAGCCCCTTCAGGGAGCAGGAATCCTGGATAATCCTCAGTATGTATTGCCTGCGCGTCAGGGCCGTGGAACCGGGATGTGAAGGAGGAGCAGGAGCAGGACAGGGCGGGAGAACTGGGTGTCCGTTGCGTTCGCGGTGCGGAAACCCGCAGTTTTCGGCGATCGTCAGACATGCTTTCAATAAGCATGCGTCGGTGTAATAGCGGCGCCAGCATACGTCCACATCTTTGAAAGGGAATACGCGGAGCTTGGAGTCGGCTAGCTTGATTGCGCCGTCGGGATCGCCGAGAAGATGGTCGTGAAGAGTGTCGAGATCGTTGTCCGGGAAGCAGCGGAGAATGGGGTCATTGGGGCGGACATTGAGAATCTCGAGGAGGGTTGTGGAAAGGCTAAGGTGAATCGGGATGTATCGCATTCTTCGCGGGTTTATCTCATTGTATGTTATCGGAATAGGAGGATCTCTGCATGAGGATGCTGGAATAGTGTCAAGAGAGTGATGGTGGTTGAATGTTGATGTTGTTCTTGTCGCGTCTTTTTTCGAATATCAATTAGGTATCCCGATTCAGACTAGCGTGTAAACCCCGCTATCTCCGAATGACAATCTTGAAGTTATCGAGATGGTCTTCAACTACACGCCAGGAATGCTTAGGAAACGCTTAAGATGACTCGGTGGCTATGAGAAGTGAGATTTGATTTATAAAGACTATTTGTCTCATTATTTGGACATGTTCCTCTTATTATTACAACCGCCAATTCCAGACCATCAACTCCGACCCTATGTTGCAAACTCTCAATATATACACCTTTTTTGATGACATTTAGTAGTAGTATGAATACCGGTTCCTATTGCTCAGTCCAGCAATTCCACAACAAGCTTTGGAATGCCTGCAACTCCCTCGCCCCTGATGGCACTGACAGGAACCGCGCAGACCTTTTCTCTCCATCCATTGGGATGTCCGCCCGGATGCTCCACTTCGCCCTTCTTAACAGCGGCAAGATAGTCACGCAGTGTCTTGAAGCGTTCTTGGGTCTCGGGGAGATCGGCCTTGGTAGCTACTACAAACCACGGCTTGGTGTGAATTGGAGGAAGATTCAAAGCGGGGAGTTCGTCATGAGCTTTCGACGCAACCTCGTTGAGCTCACCAATTGCACTTTCGGATTGGAGTTCAGGAAGACCATGAGTTGGCGGGGTCCAGGTTAAATCATCTCCCTCAACTTTCATCGCCTCCTCAGCGTCCCGGACGCGCTCATACTCTCCCAGTTCATGCCAGAGATTCTTCAGCCCTTGCACAGGGTCACCTGCGCTGAGATCAACCACAAATGCCAGAATACCAGCGCGTTCAATATGCCGGAGGAAGCCTAGGCCAAGGCCTTTATCCAGATGAGCATCCTCAATCAAGCCTGGAATATCGGCAATGGTGAAGTTCGTCCGCCGGGCCTTTCCTTTGGATTCCACCAAGGGTCGCCCTTTATGATTGTCGATGACTACCGTACCAATATTGGGAGAAAGCGTCGTGAACTCCCAGTTTCCGACCCGGGTGCGACTGTTGGTCAACGACCGAAGTAATGTACTTTTTCCCGCATTTGGCTTTCCGACAAGGCCAACATCCGCAAGCAGCTTCAGCTCGAATTCAAGCTCCAGGCGCATGCCGCCCTCACCTCTGGATGCGAACGTAGGCCGGTTCATATTGCGAGTCACAAAGTGTGGATTACCCAAGCCACCGACACCTCCAGCAGCCAGCAAGATCGGCTTGTCCATATGTTGCGAGAGATCGAGGTAGATCGGTGCCTTCGGCTCGAGTGCTGCGATATGTTGTCTTCGGGGCGGATTCTTCGGAAATACCGTAGTCAGGTAATCGGACGGGTTCGCGCCAGGATAAAGAACCCAGCGATCATGCCGTATAGACGGTAACCCAAGCTCATCTATCTCATCCCTTTCTTCTGCGCCTTCCTCTGCCGCAGCAGCAGCAGCTGCTGCTTCCGCGGCTTCCCTGCGCTCACGTTTCCGACGCACAATTTCCTCCGTGACCGGATCGTAACGGTCGACTTCGCGAACGACAGTGCCGATGGGAACCTGGAGCAGGACATCGTTACCTCGTTTGCCTCCTTTGCTTTTCCCCTGTCCGTTCTTCCCCCGACCGGCCTTTATGATTCCCCTGCGAGCCAGCTTATGTAGACTCGTCATGCCTTCAACGGCTTGGATATAGATGCTCCCGCCACTACCTCCGTCGCCGCCATTCGGTGGACCCTCTTCGACATACTTCTCTCGTAGAAACGAGACACACCCATGTCCACCGGCACCAGCATATATCGTTGAGCGACATTTATCCTGGAAAATAAAGCGCGAATAATCTTCGGGGGACGGGTTCAGATGGGAGGGTTCAGAGACATGATCGGGAAGCGGCGTTTGTAGGTATTCCGATCGCTTGGACTCGGCTTCGGTGCTATTATATCGCTGAGACCATAATTTGAGTGCGACAGCCGGTGTCCTAGCTAGGGGACGTAATCGGACGGACTGTTGGGGGAGAATGCGAGGAATTGAGCGTAGGAGCCATGTTCTGTGAGCTGCCATGTTGAAAATCTGGAGCTTAGCTATAGCTCATTCTGGGTTGACGGGGGAAGCAATTATGCAATTGGAGTGATATTAATCAGCTGCGATGCATTTCTCTGCCTTGTTTCAGGACTGAATAGCTTGTTGGGACTGGAAATAATGATGAAATCGGTGTCGATGTCATGGCTCATGCCGCATTCCAGCAAACCCGGGCGGCACGTGACGTTATCGGCACCTGACGATAAGAGTGTTTACTGTCTACAAGCAAGCGATCACGTTTATCTCAACATCTCGTTCTATCTGCCATTGTCGAAGTATACAAGGTCCATCTATTGTTTTCGACGATGCACCAAGAGCCCTAATCCATGGTCAATTGAATTAAACAGTCATACAACTTACCCAGCCAGATCTCCACGAACCAACACCAGCAAAGCCAAGACCATAACCATAACCACAAGACTTACAGAACCACCAAGTCACTGAAACTCTATGACCATTACAGAACAAATGAAATCAAATTACTTCCAAAACCACCAGAACGGCTATACGCAACATGCAGCGATCAACAAAACGACCTTCCGGCCAATTCCCAACTAATCTGCAACCCTAAAGCCGGCATGTCTTGCAAGACTGTCAAACAAAACCTCCTAACTCCATGCAACAAGGCCACAGTCAGCAGAGGAAATATGCAGCAGTATGTGTCAAGCTTACACTTACGAACAGAATGAAAGAATGAAGGCTGGCAGCTGAAAGAGCGGCCAGGCCCAACGATCAATCTTCACTTGTCTTGCACTACATCGGGCAGAACTTTCTTGACTCACTCGAGCTGTGCTGTGCTGTACTGGGTCAGTTTGTGTCGCTTACATCACAGATGCAGTGAGGGCGAGGGGAGGGCAGAAAAGATGTGCACTGCACTGCGCAGACCTTGTTCTGCTTTGTGCGGTGACACCCTGCGCACATATATCGGCGGCAATAGGGGAATTCTGCTTGGTTGGTTGTCTCTCTCGAGTATGTTGGTTGAAGGTGGATGGCAGTATTTGCATCGACATTGATGGTTATGTCGTACTATTACCTCTGGCCTAG